TTATCAAAGAGGGGCGGTCGGGTAGCCTAGTGGTTAAAGCGTTCGCTCGTCACGCCGAAGACCCGGGTTCGATTCCCGACATGGGTACAATGTGTGAAGCCCATTTCTGGTGTCCCCCGCCGTGATATTGCTGGAATATTGCTAAAAGCGGCGTAAAACCATACTCACTCACTCACTCACTTATCAAAGACTTAACTAGCTCTTAGTTGATGGATGAATGTAATACATAATCAATACTGCGAGGCTGCATTACCATTGTCTAAAGTAATTTGAGTCAATCTTGACCTATATAGGTTTGACCAAGTATCTAGAACAGCTTCTTTGAGAGGCGTTTAGAAGTAAGTACTGAGTAAGGATAAGATATATGCATGAACAACTTCTTTATTACAATTAGGAGCGATGTTTCGGTGTTGGTTCAAACACTGTTATCAAGCTTGCTTGCTTGCTTGCTTGCTTGATAACGGTGATAGAACCTACACCGAAACATCGCTCCTATTGTAATAAAGAAGTTGTTCATCCATATATCTTATCCTTACATATCTAGGACAGGTTTCACTGTTTTTCTGTCCATACATTTCATACATGGTCCCTAGATATTAGGGATATCTTTGATTGGGGTTCACAATACTGTTGCCTGTATCCAGCAATAACAAAGGCATCAGTTAATCTTGATCAAATGGGCTTATACATGTACTTAGAAGAAGAGCTACAAATTTTGTACCACCTGTCAGGACATTTTGTATTTTCATAATTCAAACAAATTATCAATTTGTTGTGGCCTTTCTGTCTTGTAAAAGTGTAATTTGTGAGTTAATCACTTCATATACTAGTCATGAAGCATATATTATCCAATGTTTCTTAATTTATTTGTGGTTTGGGAATTGCAACAATACCTTTCAAAAGTTATTGAAAGTTATTTTAATTTGACAAAAAGATGCAAAAACATACGCTTCAAATCAAAGTTGATATTTTCTAAAGATTAGATGTACATGTATATACTTATCTATGCCTAATGTGTGCTGTAACCTGAAACACACCCTTGTCTTCTCATGCTTCAGTGTTTGTATGCATGCATGTCAAAATGTTCTTTGTCAGTCCTTATCACTGTCTGAGGTGATCAGCTGATCAATTATTTAGTGCTACATAGAGTGAGTCTTTTATACAGGTGTCTGATCTCGAATAACTATTTAGGTCCCATGAGGCCTCTTCCATGCTTACACACCTCTATAAACTAGAATCAGGGAGACTATACAAAGATAAAGTCTGTATAGACTCCCTGCTAGAATGCTTCATCTCAATCAAATTTTGCTGTTAGGTAGATAGGATAATAAGGGTGGCGCACTCCTAAAAGGGAGGCTTAACTTGGGCCCAGACTAAAGAGGGCATCGTTAAGCTTCGTCCCTATTTAACATATGGTTGAATTATCTGCAAGATAGAAGCTATCTACAGCTCTACTTTCACTTGGCGACATTTCTTGATTGTTAATAGATATCTATGAATCCCTCATACTGTAGCTTCTATGTTTTGATGATGAATCTGTTCCAGCCTTGACAAACCTGTTTAATGCACACTGAAGAATATTGAATATGTATTTGTAAAGATTATGATCCAGAAATGTAAGGAGTTTTCCCTTCCCCTGCTACATGCTATTTTGATAATACCAGATTGAATTCTTTTTTCTTCTTTCCAATTTCATTTGGTTTTTTTGTTGGTCGGTTTCGTAAACCAACTAAAGGCGCAAGCAAAATCAGTGTTGCAGTGAGGGGCTTTCAGCACTGCTTTTAGCAAAAGTCCAGCCATATCATTTTGAGGGGCACCTGTTATAGTCTTCACAAATTGTACCTGCGGGGGAAAATGACATCAAGTCTTTGGCATTAAGGATTCATAGGTATGTATTAGCAATTAATAAATGTTGTACGGTGAGAGTAGAGCAGTATATATAGTTTTGCAGGTAGTTGTTTAATGGTGTATATGTTCATGGAATAAACAATTTGTTGCCTTTCTTTGTTCTGGTGTTTTCTTATGCTACTATTGTTGATTATGCACCAAGTGCTAGCTCGTTGTAAATAAAACATGAATTCTTTCTACCTTTGGAACTCTTCTGTTTTCTTTCTTGCAGTATTTGTTCTCCATTTGTTAGTTTTTAGCTCACATTAATATGTGAATATGAGCTTGTGATGGCCATGTCAGCCATGTTCATTTGATTTGGGTAGCCTTGTGGTTAAAGCGTCCGCTCATCACGCCGAAGACCTGGGTTCGATTCGCGACATGGGTAAAATGAGTGAAGCCCATTTCTGGTGTCCATGATATTGCTGGAATATTGCTGAAAGCGGCAGAAAACCATACTCACTCACTCCCTCACACATTGGGATTCAGTTAGGGAACTTTATGCGATAGTTTTTGAGCAAGTAGGCATCACATTGATGTACAAGGCTTACTAAATGTAGTTACTGCAAGGTGACCTTTTCAAGTTATCGGACTGGTTTATAACACTGTCCATTACATGTACCGGTATAAACTGAACAAATATAGTTAGGGATTATGAATATTTTGGGGATATTTTTATGAAATTGTGTGCTCAGTCTTTACTGCAAGAAAATATCCCCCAAAATGTTCATGACCACTAACTTCTCTTGTTCAGTATGTGATAGTGAGCATAAATGCGATTTGATGTTGCCTAGGGCTGTAACAATACACAGTTACGATACAGTCCATATCTCGATAGAAAGGTGATATGATACATGAAAACTTTATATCTTATTTTATTATTTATTTATTTATATTATTTATATACATGGTTAAGGAAACATTCCCATCATGAAAGTAACTAAAAGTGACTTGTGCAACAGAAAATAGTACCTTGGAATTTATGGTCATTACTATAAGACAGGAAACCTTATATATTTATCATATAATAGGTAGGTTTCTCGGCAGTATAAACGGATAAAAACAATATCTGTTGGGGTCATAATAAAAATTATGCGGATAGAGATGCAAATATCAAAGGTCAAGTAGGGACTACTTTCACTGTTTACAAACAAACATGGCATCACCCATGTCATTCGACGATCGAGTCAGAATTAACCATCAGGAATCTGGAGAAACTACTGGGATAATTGCTTTCATTATAAAAAAAACAGTCTAATATATTGAAAATCAGTGTATAACTGTGAGGTTGCTAAGGCATTTTTTAAGTTTGGGCAACTTTGGAGACATAAATTGCGAAACAATTTTGCGAGGGCACTAGTCCTTGCCAAGTGGGATCAGTAGCCATATCTGTGCTCGTAGACCTCTGCGGCTTGGACCCTTTTATACAAATTAAAATAGTTGGATTTGTCCGAAATATGTTTGAATGGTTGATTTGTTTCATTTTGTGTCTGTGTGTACATCTGAACTTCGTAACGTTATGACAGGACAGACTGTCAACGTCTGAACGTGGCCGTGACGTCTCATAGAGTAGGGTTAGAGTAGCTTCCCTTTGACAAAGGGCAGTTACTCTAGCTGACAGACCAATGGATTGCCGCGAAAGGCAAGTAAAAACAATTGTTGTTTTGTGTATGTGTTGCTTTGCCACTGTATAAGAAACAGATTTTAGTTGGAGCTGTATTGGCAACTGTCACTGTCCGACTGACCCATCACTTACCCTGTGACGTAATAAATATTAATGCGTGCATTCCAGGAAAACTCGCAATGTTTAGGTAATGTTTGTGAGAGAGGGAAAGCGATTTTCAAGCACAGAATTAAAGAATGACATTTTATGATAAAGAGGTTATCAGACTTGTGTGTTTGGTGATGGTAAATATCCTGCATTAGGAATAAACATTGTATTTAGCGAACCTTTGACCAGAGAAATAGTTTGACTTTCAGGGTTCGACATATCCGACTTGACCTTATTACTACTGTCCGAGGTGGAGATGCATCTGGCTGCTCGACAATGTTTCTATTCATGTCTACCTTTATCCTGTCTTTGAGGAATCATGCTGTATCCTGTTTAGGCCAGTCTACTTGATACACATTTTAACTTGTACAGAGTTCTTTTTTTTTCTTTTTTTTAAAGCATGTTTGATTTATCAATTAAGGATAGGTTAACATATTTTCAACTCTTCAGATGGACTATTGAGTTTGAGCCAAGCAGGGATTCAACAGGCATGTACTTGTACCATTTGTACTCATGTTGTGGCAGAGCATGGTGAATGCACAGGATGTTCACCCCTAATGTTGCCCCTAAATGACAATCCCTCATCAAACCTTCTTTTTGTTAAACATCGCCCTTAGCAACGTTCCAGCCAATCCAGTGACTGATATTAAAAGCAACAATCCACAAGGATGCACAGGCGACTAAGCGTGTACGAGGCGACGAACGGGATCGGATGGTCAGGCTCGCTGACTTGGTTGATGCATGTCATCTTATCCCAATTGCGTGGATCGTTGCTCACGATGTCAATAACTGAATTGTCTGCTCCAGACTCAATTATATACAGACCGCCGTCATATAGCTGGAATATTGCTGAGTGCACCATTAAACAACAAACAAAACACAAACGATGATGCACAATCAGCCAAGTCCTCGAGTCTGACCGTCTGATCCATTTACTCGCCTCCTGCCTGCCGCAGAGGTTTCTGGGCGTCCTATTCTATGTGGAATGCATTGGGACCATATCAAGTTAGTGTTCTGAACATGTAATTGTCCTAGTGAGAAATATGACCCACATCCTTTAGGCAACCGAGACCTGTGCAGTCCTGAAGCACTGTCCTCTGTCAGCATGCCTTTCCTTTTGACATGTGACCTCACTTCCTCCCACATTATGACAAACCATGACATGAAATACTATTCAAGGTGGTTGGATGAACCCAAATCACTCACTCAACTGTGCATGCATTACGAGAGTTGTCTTCCTTGGCATGGGCTTAAAACCAGTTCAAATCCTCTAGTTTCCTGTATTTCTATAACACTTAACACAAGAGTTGCTTAACTTAAGTGAAAACATTACAAGAGAACATTTGAAACATACAATTTTATTATCTTACAAAACGTCACTAAGAAATATCAGATTTGCTGTACACCTTTCAGGCGCTGACAAAATAAGTGCTGGTCTACAGGATACTAAACATTGTAACAATGCTAAATGATATGCTACTTAGAATATGTTGATGTAGTTCTTCATCTTGCCTAAGTTTCTCATTGGAAGGAAGCCTCTGGCATGTATAGCGCTGCATAGAATTTTGAACTTTGAGATATAATCAAGAGTAAACAAGCTTCATTTGACAGGCAGTTGTGATATGCTTCAATTTTAGTTTATAAATTCACGTTTCTTCCACCATTTCCACGAAATAGTAATCTAATGCATAGAAAACCAAAATTTAATTCAAGTTCAATTATTTTATTCAAAGGGTTGCAAACACTTCCCAATTTCAATGACATGATAATTTTGCCATTTCAAACAAATGGAAGAGAAACAAAACAATCTAGTTAAGCAAATATGACTTTCTATATCCAATCCTTGGTAAAAGGTGAACTCTACTGCAAATTCAGCAGTTTTTAGTAAGGCAATAAGCACTGAAAAGCACAGATGGTATTTTAGTCTTATTGGTATATCAGGTGAGTATACAAGGTACAGACAAAACTACAAGTTTACAACTTATCATCTTATTTACAATGACAATACCACTGAGCAAGTTCTCTCGTCAGAGTACTTTTGAACACCAAGCTGCATTTGACTAGATATATCAGAAAAGTTGCTACCAACAAAAATTTGAACACAGCAAAACTAAATCCATGCTTTACCAAAATTCAAAACATTTTTACATGGGTTTCTGAAAATTGTCTGCAGTCATGATGATCTAGGTAATATTGTCCCTGAAAACAAACATAGCCAGCAATTATTTAGCTAACTGACTTCAAATTAAATAAGATTACTGTCCATTTGTAAGTACAGACATATCAAATACATGGTTTATTCAAAACAAGGTGGAATGTCTCTGAAGTCCCCGAATCTTTTAATTAATTTTGACCTCCAGACAAAGGCCTGGGACAAGTGCCCTTTATAGACAGTTTCATATTTTTATAAATAATTAAACATTTCTGAATCAATAGGGGTAATCTCATTTGTAGATTTAAAAAAAAGACTCGAGAACTTTAAAGACAACCCCTGTTTAATGTGGTATATGAAAAACAAAAAGAGCCAGGTATCCTACTGAAGTTCCTTTTGGCTTGAAATATCAAATCTATATTGAGGCAAACACATATTCAAACATATTTCATATCTTAAAATGTCTAAAATGGTTGCCGTAACAAAACAAATTGTTTGACTTGACTGAATACAGGTTTTATGAGAATGTACTGGACAGAACTTCTCATGACATCTTTGGCAATCTAGAAACAACTTATTTCAAATCGTTCTAAAATTTATTGCAAGGACACTTTTAAACTAATAACCAAAGCACTAGATTGAACCAGGGCACCATCTGAAAAAATACTGACAGTAAAACTTGATTCGGAACAATGCCATTTGTTAATGACCAAACACAGGGACAATGCAGCGCCTCATAGTCACCATGGTAACTATGGTTGCATACATTAAAGAAAGGAAAAACATTTTTCTTTTCGATCAAAGTCAAAATGTCCTGGATCTTGAAAAGCGTAAGACATTTGATAGAAACCATAACAAATACGTTCATATAAAAATTAAAAGATAAAGGGTTCTCATTGAAACCCATTAACAAACTTGACAATTATAATTTGTGTGAGTGTTAACTGAAATCTTTAATAAAAAGTGTCAAATCAGTAACAATGATAAATTGATAAAAAATATTTGTTCGTCTTGAGAACAAAGTTGTGACCTTGTGTTAACAATACTTGATTCAATGTTTAAATTTGACTTCTTATTTAAACATTTCAGAGATTGCGCACAATATTGCTAAAAACATACCCTCACATGTACATTCCATAAATACACAAGTTCCTTTTCAAAGCAACAGCTACCACTCATCCAATTGGTCAGACCTGGTCACATGATGCTATCTTGAAATCATATTGGACAAAGCAGGAAGTCAAAGGTCACAATCCCTGAGCAGCTGTGTACTTGATTCGAACTTTCCGATTGTAAAGCAAAATGTTTCATGACAAAGTCTGGTATTTTGAAAACCTGTTTTAACAAACAAAATCATAGATAATTCTTTATATTCATGTTCGTAATGTTCACGGAGTGCTGGAAATGTTCTCATATTTTATCACAATGCTTGACTTCAACAGCAGTTATCCCCCTTCCCTGTATTGTAAACCTTGGCTTTGTAACACAATCCTGTGAATTCTGTGTAACTGGAGGGATTTTTTCCAAATTGAAACACCTAATTGATCTGTGTTTAAAACTCATCATGGCGAGTAAGAGCTTCCCCAAAGTCAGTGGCTTGACTGCCAACAAACAGATCATACTTGTCGAGAATTTCTTCTTTTGTGAGTTTGCCATCCTGAAAGATAAATGAGTGAAAAAACATAAAAATTATCATCATTATCATAACAGAAACCACAATCTAAGGGTGATTCATACAAGCATCAAATGTTCAGACACAATGAATTGATGACACTTATGGCACATGTATTAATTCTGTAACAAAGGAATGTGTCATTATAATAGGGGTGGGTGGGCCAATCCCTAAACAATTTTCAACATGTTCAAATACATAACTGTTTTATTTGAAAAAGTATAACTGTCAGGACCCTCCTTCTATAATATTGTGATAAATATTGGCGACCCCCATCTTTCGTTGTCATTTTTCTTCACGACACCTAACCCTTAATCTCTTTAATAAATTTCCAGTCCCTAAGTTTTTCCTTGTGGCAAGCAGTCTTGCAGTCAAAGAATGAGTTGTAAGTGCATGTGGTTTCATGTGGCAGCCATAAATGACCCAGCTACATCCCACCGGCCTGCAAATAACCACGTCTGGACCAGGCAAACCAGTGATTGAAAGCAAGAGCAACTATCCAAGTCATTCTAAAAAAACAATTTAATGTTAGTATTAGGAAACAGTGTACCTAAGATGGGACTGGATGTCTAGAATTGTATCAAAAGCATTTTTGAGGATGAGATTTCCATAACTTCACAAGGCACATAAAAGTCTTCTCTTGAATTGTTAAGCCTTCGGTCCCCGATTCTTCACACAACTTACATGTTAACTGCACCTACTAATGTGCCTCTGCTACCCGTTATATAGCAAAAGTTAAAAAACAAATATACCCTTGTATTTATGTTTCTTTTCTTTTAAAATTTCACACACAAAAATAGATTCATCTTAACAAATCCCAACTGATATCATTTCTATTTAAGTCTAGGCCAGGCCAGGCCAACCAGAGGTCGAAAGCATGATCCTCGATCCTCATCACACAGCCCTGGCCACACAGTGACCACCCAATCCACCTAACCTATTCTAACCCAGAAATCCCAAACAGGGGGATTTTCATAGGTCATGAACAGAGTTGAAGATCAAGCTCGATCAATAAATGAGGACACATGCAAGTAAACTTCTACAACAAAACATGACAATGATCAATGAATGTAAAGTGTAGTCCAATATACAACTGCAACTCACAGCATCCAAGCAAAGCAGTAACTACAAAGCTAGAAGGGTGTCATATGAGAGTGAGGGAAACAAGAGTGCCACAGGTAAGGTGCATATGGTGACACACAGATCAAGGAGTGCAGGAAATAAGAGGGAGGGTTAAGCTACAAAGGGAGATAAGCAGTGTGGGAGAAACAAGAGTTGAAGAGGCTGAAGATATGGGTGAGGGTAGTTCACGCTATCCAAAACAAATCTAAACCAAAATTCCCATGAACCTGATAAAAAACCACCTGTCAACTTAATAAATCTTGACCTTTTCCTATGAACCAATGAGCAGGCCAGTCCATTGATGGACTGGGGGTGTAAGATGGTCAGTGGATAATCTGAACTGTCTGAAAACAGCAATTAGCGATTTGCCTTCTCTACATGGCACAAACATTGGACTCTTGGTCAGTCTCATTAAAATCAGATCTAAGGTCTCGCTGACGCTAAACAAAGATCTGAGGACATCCCATTACGGGTCACGTCAGAACGACCTATCGCGAACTTTAACCAAACACTGAAACGACTAACAAGAAGTCGATATCAGCCAATTAGATAGAAAGCAGCTTTTTCAAGCTTTATGGCACTCGTTTCAACCTGGCGACTTCCATTTCAGACTACGCTTGAAAGATATATTGACAGAGTTCTCGATTAAAATTTTGAAAACTGAACAAACGAACATTCCGGAATGTCTATACTATGGTTCTGATTGTATGGCTGTGCTTCCCACATACTGTGCAACGCCTCCTCCATTCAAATGTTTATCCCACGGAAGCGAGAGATAGACGATAATTTTGACGGAATCAGTCGTACAGGCCGTAACTGTCATTCAGAATACCCCATGTTAACACTTTCGAGGATGCATGATTAGAAAACACATTCCGACTGTCACTTTCATGATCTGGAAAGAGAAGCTTTGATTGGTCGGATGAAAAGTCGTTCTGATGTGACCCATAATGGGATGTCCACAGATCTTTGTTTAGCGATAGCGAGAATTAAGATTTGATTTTAATGAGACTGACGCTTGGTGCAATAATTCTGCCCTGAAGCACCAATGTGATTCTGAGTCATAAATCATTCCTACTGCTGAGACTGTCATAACTCCCAGACTTACACATACACTTACGATGACTTTTGCAACAGGGTCCTGTGGTTCTCCAAAGTTTCCTTGCCTCTATTACTCTGATTTGTGTTTTTCCAATGAACAAAATATGCATCACCAAAGGCACTATATGGTTTCAAAACAAAATTCTGAAGCAATACTCGTCTGCATAAGAAACAAAAACACATACTCCATTACTCCAATGCAACCTTGAAATAACATCAATCCTGTTATTGTGTTATGAAAAAGTATCTTAAAATGAGAAATAAGGCAGAGAGAAAGAACCTTGAACCAAAAAGAAGTAAGCTCGATTTGATAAGCTCAAATGATGCTTTCACCCAAGAATGTGAGGCCTCCTGCCAAGCTGACAAAGATATGCAAAGAGTGAAACCTTAGCTGCAAAATTGTATCCACAGTAAAAACAAAAAACGGTTTCAATGATTACACCAAAAACCAACTCCACTGTATTCATGATTACCAAGCTAGCCCCATCTGCATCCATGGTCACAATTTTATCCAAATCTGTATCCATGGCAACCAACCACAAAATATAACCAAAAACAGACCTAAACACATGCTGAAAGAAATTAAATACTGAGGCTACAAACCTTATCAGCATCAGCCTCATGAATAAGATGCTTCGTCTCCGCCCGCGAGTGATCGTAATCACTTGGAAGGATCCATTCTCTCACTTCCTCCCCATCCATTTTGCCATCTTTGTTTTTATCACGGTACGTATTAAATTGTTCACGTTCACTTTTCACCCATTCAGGCTCCTCCTCACCCTTATCTTTATCAGGCCACATGTCACCTACAAAGGTTAAAGGTCAAACAAAAGATGAGTGAAAGCTTGCTGCGACTAGAGGGCGTATGAGGATCAACAAACCTTATCCGTGTCCGAGGACTCCATTAAGTGAGTAGCCTCAGCCGAACTGTGGTCATAATCCTCAGGGATAATCCATTCCTTAATCTCAGCCTGGTCTAATTTACCGTCCTTGTTTTTGTCTCGGTAACTGGCGAACTGCTCGCGCTCAGATGCCACCCAATCGGGTTCACCGTCATGGTGGTCATCTTCCTCATCATCATCGTCATCCTCATCGTCCCAAATGTCCGCTAGAATTAGTTGTACATGGAATACACGTGCAAACATCAATTTGTTACCATGGTAACCTTTCTGAATGGGCATCATTTGTCAACTGAACATGTGAATGAGATGCTGTTTTTCAGCCAAATAACAGAGGCTTGTAAATAATGAAGTCTAGGTCACGCAATCCAGGTCCCAACAGCTTGAGCATTGAATCATGCCAGTCTCATATACATCAACCATGTCATGTACTGGGACAAACTGGTACCCCATGTCCTTGTATGTCCCTGTGTGTCCTTGTGTGTCCCTGTGTGTCCTTGTATGTCCCTGGATGTCCCTGTGTGTCCCTGTGTGTCCTTGTACGTCCCTGTGTCCTTGTGTGTCCTTATATGTCCCTGTGTCCTTGTGTGTCCCTGTATGTCCCTGTGTCCTTGTGTGACTCTGTATGTCCCTGTGTGACCTTGTGTGTCCCTGTACGTCCCTGTACATCCCTGTGCGTCCCTGTGTGTCCTTGTGTGTCCTTGTATGTCCCTGTGTGTCCTTGTATGTCCTTGTATGTCCCTGTGTCTCTGTACATCCGTGTGTCCCTGTATGTCTGTGTCCCTGTATGTCCCTGTGTGTCCTTGTATGTCCCTGTGTGTCCTTGTATGTCCCTGTGTGTCCTTGTATGTCCCTGTGTGTCCTTGTTTGTCCCTGTGTGTCCTTGAATGTCCTTGTATGTCCCTGTGTCTCTGTACATCCGTGTGTCCCTGTATGTCTGTGTCCCTGTATGTCCCTGTGTGTCCTTGTATGTCCCTGTGTGTCCTTGTATGTCCTTGTGTGTCCCTGTATGTCCTTGTGTGTCCTTGTATGTCCTTGTATGTCCTTGTATGTCCTTGTATGTCCCTGTACATCCCTGTGCGTCCCTGTACGTCCTTGTATGTCCCTGTGTGATCTTGTAAATGTTTTATGTATATGAAAAAACTGTGGATTCTGAACCCCAAGAGTGAGTGAGTGAGTGAGTGTGGCCTTTTTTCCAAATAGTATCTGCCTTTTGAAGAACATTTAAGATATTATATACAAGTTTATGCTTATGTTGCTCAGTGATTCTTAAAGCACTTGGAATCTTTTAACTTAATATCACACTTAAATACACATCTTTTATTCCAAAAGTATCTTCCCTTCAAACAAATCCTAAGTTATTATATTCAGGTTTATGTTCATAAGCATATGTTGAGATAGGCAGTAAGGTAAAACCAGTTCGAGTATATACTGGGCTTGGTTATTGCAAAACTTTGCAACTCATTCTTTTTGAAAATAGGTTTCTTTTAAAACTATGAATCGATATACATGTTATATCATGATATATCGCATGGGTGGCATATTGTGTCATATCATAAGGTGCAAATTAACAATACCTCTGTGAATCATGTCACCACTAACATTGCCTAATAAAGACATAATACAAGTTGTATACTCAAAGCTAGATCATAGTAGCTTTCTAATCTACCAATCAATATCATGGCTTCTAAATTCTCGATGAGCGAAGCATCCAACCAAGCATATCTGATTTCAGTATCTCGAAAATGAAGTTAATCCGATTGTAAATGACATAGGCTGTGCTTTTATTTAGATGTAGATATTTTTCACCCCCTGTCGTTTCTGAGCACCATGGCAACTATACCCAAAGGGGGAATCACGAAAGGAATATTTGTGTTCTCTGTGGACTTTCTTTTGTTCAAATTGAAATTTCCAAACCAAGGTGGTAAAAAACATCAAGGGGAATCAATTTAGAAATCTGACACCTGATTGGCTTAAGAACCCACACAACCTTCCAATAGACTTGCTGGTTACAATTTGCTCAGGGTTCACCTGACACGACCTATGGAAGTGTTGTCAGATCTCCAAGCAGAGAGATATTGTGACGACTGGGCCCACATCCTTTTCTATTCCCTAGAATTTGATCTTAAAACTTTGCCTATAGCCAGTAAAATGCAGTATGTCACAGCATGTTTGACAGAATAATAATCAGCAAAGACGATCTTTTAATGTATATGTATGTATCCATGCTCAATATGTATATGACATGTGTGACTGCAAATCATTCCATGTTTTATAGGTCATGTAGAAAGTAGAAAAGTCTTAGTGTTGTCAGCAATTGAAACAAACACCATGAAACAATAGCAACATCATGATTTTAGTGATGGGGTGAAGAACCTGCCAAGGTTCATGATTATTACTAAATAAAAGCATGATTTACTTACCAATATATTCTTCAATACTGATAAATCCATCTTTATCTTTGTCAATATCTTCCAGAGTTTCCTGCAGAAGTGAAACAAGACATTAAGATTCATCAGATTTGGAAAAATCTGTCTCTCGAAAACAAATGTAATAAGGGGGTTCTGAATGTGCAAACATTTAGCCATGTAGTATATTGTTGTAAATACTTTATACATCCTGTCTTTTCCAAGTCCCATGGCATCTCCACCCTCAAGAGTCTACAATTTAGGATAGATTTGTGTTCTGTGGCAGTTTCCTTTAGCAAGATCAAAATTATCAAATCAAGGTGATAAAGAAATGAAGGCAAACTGCTAAGAAAGCTGACATCTGACTAGTTCAAGAACCCACACTTCTTTCATTTGGATTGGGTGGTCAAAGTTGGCTCAGGGTTCACCTAATGTCACCTCCTATGAACATGACCTCATATCTCCATGAGAGAGTTTCCTATCAGAGTAACGACATTATTTTGGTGAAACAAACAGAGTTAAAGGATAAATTTCGTGGTTTATATGAAATGTTTGAATACGACAGATATTTTTCCAGAATTTAATTGCCCATAATTAAGGGTGCATATAACACACGAGTGTGTATTTGACGCGAATAAATAAGTCTTATGTACATTGATCAATCGGAAGGGGTGCTAATTGGGATTGTTCACTAGCCAATATATCAGCAAATATCGCCGTGGGCGCTTTTTAGAGCGGGGCGCTTATTACGTTGAACATGGTATGTATATGGGATATGGGATATCTCCATATGGGATAGTACTAGCCAAGTTCGCTGATCAGCCTTGATAATCACATGTGTTACATCACCATTGTGTAATTAGAAATACATATTCATACAATTGGGATCGATGACATGCATCAACCAAGTCAGCAAGCCTGACCACCCGATCCCGTTAGTCGACTCTTACAACGAGCATAGTCACCTTTGATGGCAAGAATGGGTTACTGAAGACCTATTCTACCCCAGATCTTCATGGGTAGGGACAGGGGTGATGGAGGTAGAGACATCACTTTCGCAAAGAACAGAGATATGATGCACTGGATAAGTAAGAATGAGTTCTATCAAGAATGTGAAAAATAATCATACGTGGACAACAATCTCCCTCATGTGTTCAGCATCTTCAGGATGAAGAAAGTCCATGAATTCCTCTTTAGAAAGTTTGCTGTCCCTATCTTTGTCTGCTTTCTCCCACCGCCTCTTGTCTCGCTGAATCATGTCGCGGTACTCATAAGTGGGGGAGCCTTCTTCTGGTTCTGCAAAGGACAGTACGTATTACAACTGGGGTAGACACCATAAGCTAGTCCACAACTCATTTCACATCAGTTGTCTATTTCACTATTTTACCCATAAGGGCTTGCAGATGAGGTGAAATTATTTTCAGTAACTTTCACTCAGCATCATATGTTTTGCTTCATGCTGATTGGCTAGTGTTTTTTAATTGTTTCATTTGCAATGTTCGTGAAGAGACCCATAGCAATGGGATGTGATATGAATACATAGTTGCAAATAATTGAAGATGATTTCAATCTTTGTTCAAAACGTCACAAATTATTTTCTATAACATTGTTCCAACAACAGATAGTTGGGCAAACCCATATTTTTTTGGTACATATTTCAGAAAAAAAAGGACCATGGTTAAAATAAAGGATAAGCTACAAGGAATTATGGATTATCCAAATCCACATCTTTCATGTGTGTGGGTTCACTTCTTGACTTGGATAGTGTGAATCCCATGCCACCGCCCAACCCCTACCCCCATTAATCTGGGGTCTGCCTCTGCCTCCAGTAATTCCTTAAGATAAGACATGCCTATTGTACCTAGCCTGGAAGACTTACCATCAGGGTAGCCATATGTCCTCTTCTTGTAGGACGTCCACAGAAGCTTGTCATCAGCATCTGGCTCGTGGTCCTTCCACATCCGATCCGTATCCGTGATGATGTACCGTTTCTGGACGTACTGGATCCATTCCTTTAACTCCTCTTCTGTGACAAAACCGTTTCCATCCTTGTCAATCTTGTCCACGATCAACCTGCAAAATATACAAATTAATTTAGTTTATTATTGATATATAGAGCTAATCAGTATATTCCAGCTATGTCACAAGAGCCTGTAAAGAACAGACTGTAGGCTGGTTGATACGGTGAGCCACACCATGTGATCAGGGTGCGAAGAAATAGCATCAATCAAGTCACCTAGCTTCAGCACCTGATCTACCTTAGTATAATTAACTCATCACACCGAAGACCCGAGTTCGATTCCCGACATGGGTACAATATGTGAAGCCTATTTCTGGTGTCCCCTGCTGTGATATTGCTGGAATATTGCTAAAAGCGGCGTAAAACCATACTCACTCACTCACTCACTCACTCTAGACAGTTCCTTCCAAGAATCCTAACAGTAACAGGGTGAGATGATCAGAAGTACTTAATTTGTGCTACACTGATTTTAGTAAAACCATGTTACAATAGAAGTTATCCACCGGTCTCGTGGGTGACATTGGGTGATGTTCCCTCTTTGTCAATTTATGTTCCCCTTGCCTGAACATACACTAACATAGATGGTACATAAACCCATGTCAACCAAGGGGCCGGTGGATTACAAATTAATTATACAGCAGGTATGTTTTAGGCATGCATGCTTTGGCTGAATTGGTAAGAATACCATAGTTAGGCATTTATTCACTTCATTGTTGCTGAATACAAACTTAAGATTTATTTCCCCTAGAAAATACTGTATTCGACATAATAAGCGCCCCGCTCTAATAAGCGCCCACGGCGATATTTGCTAATATATTGGCTAGTGAACAATCTGAATTAGCACCCATTCAGATTGATCAATGTACACAAGACTTATTTATTTGTGTATAATACGCAGTCATGTGTTACATGCACCCTTAATTATGGGCAAAAAATCCTTGAAAAATATATTTGTCATATATAAACATTTCAGGCTGTCAGCATAAACCAAGAAATTTACAAACTTTCAACTCTGTTTTTTTTCCTCCAAAATAATATTCCAATAAGGGCTCCCTATTTCTAATTGTGAGAGCGCCCTGGGCGCTTATTACGTCGAATACGGCATTGTAAATAGTCTGAGTTTGGCATCATACATCATTAATTCAAGAAACAAAATTGCGCTTGGTATGCTGCATATGCCAACAGTTCGGTTCGGTCTCAGCCAATCAAAATCCAACATTCATGTGTAAGGCAAGATACATAGAACTATAATTTCCTGAGAGAAGATGGTTACTCACCCAAGTCTATCCTGACTCTCCTCGGGGCTGAGCTGGTCGAAGGTCTTGGCATCATCCTTGCCCAGGAAGGCATCATGGTCATAATTGTTATTGTGTTCACCATGATCTTCATGATCCTGTTCACTCAGCGTCTTAAGAACAACAATGTCAAATAAGATACTCGCGGAAGTCATTTAGAAGATCAACATTTTTTTTATAGATTTATTGTTTGCGATTCATGACATCAGGAGTTTAATTAATGAATGATGTTGTACCATGTGTACTGCACAATATTACAACCTGTCATAACAACTTTTTATTAATCAAATCTGGGTCAAAGAAACCAGTGGTTGATAGCATGAGCATCTATCCATCTCACTGGGACAAGGATGACTTTGGCAGGTCGCACACTGTAACCACCTTATCATTTTACTTTCTAACTAGTTTCAGTCAGCTCTTATGTCAAGCATGTGGTACTAACAACTTATTTGCCCCGGAGTGTTGGCAGAATCCTAAGTGAGAGCGAAGTAATGATAGAGTTTGTTTGTTTGTTGTTATAAGGCCACTTATACTTTTGCGTTTCCACACCACACAGGGTCATGTTGCAGGACTCGCGTTTGTGATTTGCTGTAAAAGCGATTATCAACCAGAACGGCAGGGTCAATGGGAAGAGATGTGACTTGAAGGACTGTATTGTTGGTGCTGACTTCTGTGTGAGAGAGAGCGAGTTCCACAAAAAAAGACAGCAATGCTAAAACCTAGAGCTGAAGGTCTTTAACTTTGATTCAGGAACCTACAGTTGGAATTGTTGATGTGCCCGAAGTGCTCTTGCTGGGGCATACTGCCTGTGAGATCTTTTGAGTGCAGTTCCATGCACTGCTTACATGTAATGAAACAGGCCCTCAGTTCTCTTAGATGCTTGTACATAATGCTGGGACTTCAAACCTGGTTTAACATGTGATCTTAATTTAGTTTGGATCTTTTACAGCCTTTGTTGACTTGAAATCCCTGTCCCCAGACTGTTGCAATAGCCCAGCCTTGACAATATTCAGAGATTGTGCAAGAGTAGGAGCAGTGTCTTTGGTGATGAGATGAAGAATTGCACCAATGTTTCTGAGATGGTAATAGCCTGTCGTACAGAGATAACTGACATGTTCTTCCACGGTGATCTTAGAGTCAAGACACACACCCAGGCTCTTGACAGCAGATGAGAATATTATAGGTTACTAATACTATTGGATTAATTTCATGAGTATGCAAGAATGTGATAATCCCTTCAAACATAACAGCTGAACTACATTCTTTATGATGGAATATCAACTGACACTGACCTACTAAAACAGTTGACCATGATATTATCAAATATTATAGCTAAAATGGATAGAATTATCATTAAACCGCCCACATGTTATCAGAAATCAGCGTTACCCTTATAATATTCCCTGACATGATCATAACAAGAAAACAGCATTATCACTATCCTCCACCATGGGGTACATTACAATTTTGCTTGTTCAACTAGAGAATATTAACTATAAAAATGAATTCTATAATGCCTAGAGAAGAGACAGGCACTTGGACTGCTCTATGTCATCAGAAAAAAATTATTAAATGTGAAATTAATACACCCAAAAGGCCAAGAGGATCTGTACCTGAACGTTCTCATAATTGTAACACAGATAACATTCCAATAATCTAGAACTAAACCATACAGGTAATAAAACATGGAACAGGGTCAAGAACATGAAACTACCAACCTGTTTCCCTCCCTGTCTATACAACATGTACCCCCAAAAATATTCACTGTTTATTTATCACTGACACTTTACATAATGATACATGAATAGTATGATCAGTTTGCGTGGATCGATGCTCATGATACCAATCACTGGATTGTCTGGTCCAGACTCAATTGTCTGGTTGGACACACCGCCGTCAAATAGATGGAATATTGCTGAGTGCAGCGGAAAACAACAAACAAACAAACCCACCAACCAACACTGGCAGTCAGACATAACATGCATAATCTGCATGCTCACAAAAGAATAACACTAATCAGCTGCTAATGAATTCAATCAATATGATAAGTCTACTCAAGTGCGACCACAGAGAATATGATTAAAATCACTCCATAAATTCACCCCAAGCAACCATTATTATGATCATAGACACCATCAATGTAATCATACATGCAAACACCACATTCAAGTTCTGAGATGCTAGGGGAGCAAAAGATGTTACCTTTTCTTTCGTTCTGTCCTTCTTGTCTCCATCAGGCTTGGGGATTGCACTGCTGTAGGACACGGCTAAGACCGCTAGCACCAGGAGTAGGGTGTACGCCCTCATTGCCTGACCGGACGATAGCACCTGTAACCAGACAGCCATTTAACAATTTGTCCATATCAACATGCCACACAATCACAGCCATGTGTCAACAATTACCTGATTTCACTACGTACTTCAACATGTGAGGTGACATGCGGTTTCACAATTCCCTTTTATAGTAACATGGATGCATGCATTTAATGTCTTTTGGTATGACACAGCCTGGATTGAACCACCGACCTCTCTGAGCAGATGTATACTGTAAATCGTGAAATTAATGTGTCTCCAAAAGAATGCGACCACTGGACCCTAGCCAATAATGCGACTCAATATGAAAGCGACACCCCCTCATCTCAAGCATCAGTGGATTTCTATCTAAAGATGTCCTCAGTCAGGTTTAGAATCCTCACCTTAATCCAACCTTACATTAATCCAATCACACACCAAATAGCACCGCTTATTAGTGCTGAGTAAAGTACTTCCGCAAAAACAATACATGCGCGCTGGCTCGTGTCGGCCTTTGACGCAGTCGCAAAGAACAAAGGGTGGCGTCTGTCTGGACTTGCAGGTGTGATCAGTGATGACATAAGTGAGTAGAACTCTTGTCTTGACCCCAGCAGTGACAATTCACAGGACGTTATTAGTGTTTAGATGACGTTGTTTATATACTTTATTTACAAGTGCTGCTCAATAAACAGTGGTGTTGAATACAACAGCGTATGTCTAAGTTGGTATTTTTGCTATCCAAAATGTCTTATTGTTGATATAAATGCGATGTTTAAAAATGCGAGCAAAGACCACTCGCATTTTTCGCATTTAATTCAAGCTCGCGTTATTTTCAAGATTTACAGTATTCACTACACAACATAGGTGGATGGACTTAAGTCTCATTACAATCTGACCATTGTGTGCCATATACATCAACAGTATATAACTGAGGGACAATACACTTGACAATGTAATACCTTCTTTTCTGTTTTATTATCATAAATATTATATCCACATCCAGTTAAAGAAGTTTGAGTTACATAGGTTTCACCATATAAAGAATCCAAATAAATGGCAGGTCTCTTAATTGTAGGCTCCTGACTGACTGTATAATTTGCAGCTGAAATGTGACAAGTTGGCACCAGAACAAATATGATACAAGAAATTTTGTTTAATGCTGCAGTAAGCAATATTTAGGCAACATCAAAGCAAACAGTACCAGACCAGTGGTCGATAGCATGAACAATGATCCTTATATCAGGGTAACCAACATGTAGGCAATGGTTGACTTTTGCAACAAGCATGAGATAGATACTGGGGGCATTATTTAGCCCCAGGGAATCCCCACAGGGTGTTCACATCAGATTCTAAGCAGATACAATTTTGAGACATTGCGTTCACATATAGAAACCTTTCTCAAGAGGGTAATAACTTTTCGTCCTCCAGAAAATAACACCCTACTATTCATAAAGATAAGTTGATGCTAACCTGTCACACAGTTACTAATCATAACACAATGATAATAACAATGTCATCATTTAATACATTTTAACAATGTTAACAACCCTTGCTTGAAATGAAATAGCACTGACTGAGTATGGTTTTACGCCGCCTTTAGCAATATTCCAGCAATATTCCAGCAATATCACGGCGGGGGACACCAGAAATTGGCTTCACACATTGTACCCATGTCGGGAATAGAACTCGGGTCTTCGACGTGACAAGCGAACGCTTTAACCACTAGGCTACCCGACCGCCCCTAAATGAAATAGCAAATTTAAACCTGAAAAACGTGTTAAATGAAGCATGGTTTCAGACAAATTGAAACATTGCTGGGTCTGTTTGCCAATATAATATAGCTGGGTATATGAACTGAATATTATATTGCTAAATCATAGTCCCAAATTAGGTGCTGTTTATTGGTTGTTTGTTTCTTTCACAAATTGAAGGACTAATGCTTTATGAGAAAATGAATCAGATTTGGGTGATAAACATGACAAATAAGTCAGAATTATAAAAAGAGGATTCCACTTAACAGCTTAAGTAAATAAAAGGATTTTACTGATTAGTAGATGAGGCGGACATGTAAATGAGATGGAAAAATAACTGGACCAAAAGTGTAAGTATCAACATCATGATTTCCCGAATTTATACATGCACAAAACAAAAAAGTGTGATAAACAAGAAATTAATGGCACAAAGGCTTAAACATTGATAAAAAAAGCAACTGGCGTTTCCTGACCAAAATGAGTTAGCGTGAAGTGCAGGGGTTGTATCCTTGATCTGACGAGTCAGTTTCGGATGCTGACGTGGCACCAGCGATGCTAGCTGACTAAGCGCCCGTAGACCCCCTAACTGAGAATTACAATACCCCTCTGCATTTACCAGATCTGCTGCACGCCTCCCAAGTAATAAACCGCGGTTCAACACAAGAGTTATTACGTCAAATACTTTCGTTTTTGAGAATTTTGAAGTTTATTGGTTCATAAAGGCTGGAGACGTTGGAAAGTTTTTCAAAAAAGGTAGAATGACAAGACAGTGGTCAGTTGGTAATGGTTTAGCCGTAGTCCTTATTACAGTGATTGTTGATTGTTATGAATGATAGCGTCTCAGAGATGTTTACTCAACCGTGGAGGGCTGTCCGCGATGGCACTTCCGTCAATATCTACCTGTCAAACCTATGGGTGACATATCTGACATATCTCATTTAAATAATGATAAAAGGTAGTGCTAGCCGGGAAGGGATCAAGCAAACACAAACAAATAACTAATTACTCACTTTACAATATATCAATATCTCTGAGTGTTGAAACCGTGAACTGAAATCATTAAACGTTTTCAATAATAAACCCTTCATTCATGAGAAATGTACCGACATTGCTATAGCGATCAATGTAGGTCAAGTTTGACAAGTGCGTGCTCACTTACCATGATGATATGCAAACGCAGATTGCGTGGTTTATTAGCTGTGAAGCAGCTGTAACGCCTGACAGTCCTCGATCGAACGGGGCCTTGCTGACAAAAGAAAATCAACACACCAAAAATCACACTGCAGGCTTATATACTTACCTCACCACCGCTGAGGCAATTGACCTTCCTAACCCCAGAGCGGCAACTTGTATAGACCAATCAAAATACAGAATGGAACCCATGTGGTCTGCATTAACCAATCAAATTTTGGCCAACGTGGCCGTTGCAAAAACCAACCAATAGCAATCGAGAACGGAAGCCCAGCGTGGCAAGTAATTTGATCTGTCAATTCTGTTCCACGTGGAAATAGCAGTGGTCTAACGAAAAGGGAAATTCCTGTCGTAAGGGCACTGTACCCTGGGAACGCCTTTTGTATCAAATGCAGCTATAGCTAGCCTACACGTACGTAAATGAATATCACATGCAAGATAAGCTTAAACTCAACAACTTATTGTTTATTGAAAGGGTATACTGTGTACTAATGTGTACAAGTTTATAGAACTGGGTAAAGTGTTCAAGGGTATGGAAAACATCAAATTAAATGTTTACATTGTGATAGAAAGGGTGGGGCGAAGAATTGTCATGAACTCCGTAAACCTGGTTTAATTAAAATTGGGTACAGCCTTCCATGACATGTCAACTCAAATAGAAAGTTAATGAATAAGATCCTTAAAGCAAATAGATTCGGACAACATTAAATTAATATCACATATCGGTGTGAATGAAACAGCATGATGACTATGAAACGGACGAGAGGTCAGGGCTTAGTTCAGAAAGGTGTTTTAGACACTAAGTAGATACTCACAAGTTAACATTCACATATTGTGGCTGATAGCTATCTTTGAATAATCAATATATTTTACTCCATTTGGTCTGCTCATTGGGTATATACATCTCTGCGAGGTCATCAAATAGTGTAATGCTTTAAGCTACAAGAAATGGGCCATTCTTGTCGTTTAAAGTCATGCATTCAATATACTAAACGTAATCAAACCGTTACAAATAAGGAATGAAACTATTCATAATGTGTGGGTTGCACATATGAACACTTTCTAACACGTTTTTGTTTAGCGTTAGAAAGATACACTTTTCACAACTGGAAAAAGAATAACTTTCACTTTCTTGAATTGATGCAGTTACAAATATTACAATCTTGGGGCATCGATGACGAAACATTTCATCACTTGTTCTGAGACCGCTTCCTTGACAGAGAAGATAAGGCGGTGTTACGTTACAGGACTCGAGCGTCTTGAAACTTAGCATCTGGGATAAGGGGAGGGGTTGGGGGGACGGGCGGGGCGACCTGGCCTTCCGCAAGCATAGCAACCAGCTGATGCAAGAAGTATTCAAGAAAGTTCTGGCGACACAACGTTACTTCTGTTTGACATCGGCGAATCTTTGTGACAAGTTTTTTTGTGAATTGAGACGTTGCTGCCACAATGCCCTGCAGCAATCGGTCAGGGACACCACGTCAATCTGTGCGAGTCGACTCAAGTGTATGATAAGACCTGTGTAACGTGTTCTCTGATTAACCGTACATAGGATACATGGCGTACGTCAATACCTTGTCAGTATTACTTAAATATGCATATGGTGTCCCTGTTAATCAAATATACTCGGATCCAGAGGGGGAGGGGTTGTTGTGCCGGCCCCACCCCCACCACGTTCCAATAACCCCATACACACGTCTTCCCCCCCTTTTGAAGCATATTTATCATATTGACGTGTACAAAAACATGTAACCTAATCTCTTAATGACAACTATGATAATAACTAATTGACGCTAATTGTTGTCCGAAATTTTTTCCATTCATTTTGTTGTTGTAAGTTTGGTGCACCCCTCACCCCCAAAGGCGGTATCAGTGCCTGCAAACGTAACGTGGTTAATTGATCTACTGATTGTTGTGCGTCTTACATTCATTGTCCATTTAGCCACAACAGGATGAGAAAATAACATTGTTCTCGTCTTATACACACACACACACACACACACACACACACACACACACACAGATAGATAGATAGATAGTGTGTGTGTGCGTGTGTGTGTGTGCTAAGTAGTGTGTGATCAGACCTGCTAACTGCTTTTAGCATACACACATCTGGCCCTTAAATTTACGTTCAGCAATCTTACAGACCAGGCATCTTACAGACCTAACGGTTTTTATTACATATTGACCCAATGTGGATTTGAACCAGGCGTTGTGCGTGTCATGTTACAACCCCAACCACTTGACCACCAGGCACACTATGAAGACATGTACAGCTTTTGCCAGGCTAATCTGTCTCATGATCACATACTGAGACTCGTAACGATTTGACTGACCTATTGCACATGCGACGTTAATTTATTCACATATTGTGACTATAATGTGTTTACCCAAATCCAAAATTTAGATAAAGGAAAAACAGTGATAGAAGCGGAAATAAAATGTTGTTTATCATTCGTGCATTCTTCGAAGTCAACCGTTAAAATAAACAAAAAGTCAACCTCTTTGATAGATTCAGACGCAAGCAAGTACAAATCATTATACTTTATATTCCGTTCTTCAAGCACCCCGATGAGCTCCTGATCATCATTTGAGAAGAACCTGTGCATATCCTGTCATATTGGATTTAGGGATGGGTGAACTATACTACCATACTTATTTAATTATATTGTTTGTTACGAACTGTTGTACTGAATAGACATGCATGTGGCCTGTGTCATTCTGTAAATAAATAGAGTATCTCACCCGGGTGTCTTTTGATATTTGATATTTAGTTTATGTTATAAAACAGTATGATGACCATTAAGTGTTAGACGCAGATGGAGAACGTTTTGCATTCTGCAAAATTGTTAACAATTATCTTTTTTTTTAAATTCCTTCAACAAATGAACGTTTACTGAAAATAACCTACGAAATAATCTTTCAATCACCGGACGTAGAGCAACTACTCTGCAAAAGCCCTTCATTTATGGTAGCAGCTATATGTGGAATCAACGTCAATGAATAGTAAAAGGGGCAAGTTCATTAAAAGTATGTACTCAGAAAATATGCGAGAAACAAAAGACTGTGCCTTGTACCTTTAACTGATAGGATATAACAAAGCTAATATTTAACACACAATACTCAGGCATATTCTTAGCTATCGCAAAGCCGACTTATTCAAAATCTTATAGATAATCATATCTGTAATTGTTCTGAATCTGAAATTTTTTTTTCCTAGAATGTCGTATTTACATTAGATCTGGTAGATTACTATTACATGAATTTTCCAAATTTGACATAGATGTGATCTTAACATCATTCTGTATAAGGCGACCCAAACTCAGATGACAGTGTCAACAAATTCATACACACTTATATTCTGTCAACGACAGATTGAACTAATTCATACTTTTGTGTCCAACTGTATTTGTTGTTAACTGTTGATTGCATGTATTGATATATTCATCATTCTGTAATTTTAAAGAGAAAGTATAGGCTAAGCTCCTGGAGCTTTTTTCCAGTACTATTGATTGTCAATAAATGTTTGAGTCAAACTTGATATTTAAAACTCAGCGTCTCTATTCACTTTGAACCCATCTCTTTTAAATTTATTTAATTTGAAAGGAACTTGTATATCCAATACGTATAGAGGTATTGACACAATTGTTTTTTTATGGTTAAGTGCCAAACAGTGTTTAGTACTCTAAAATGAACACCCACATAAAATGAAATTTTCTTATTTTGGTAGGTCTCCTTGAATCTGGATCGAAACGTAACTAAAGGGTTAAATGGTTTTTTTTCCATTCATACCATTAATTGTTTCTATTATTGTACACGCAGCAAATAGCGGAAATGCGAATCTAAGATCTGTATCAGTCAAATGGCAAACATGTTTTAACTATGTTATAAACAGAATGACCATACGATGTCGGTGACCCGGATCCAAGCCGCGGGGACTCCGGGTTATAGAATATGAGGTTGTAGTCCAAACGCCACAAAAAAGGTCATAACGGCCACACAAAAAGTCAAAATGTCCATGATAATGATAAATGAATATCCAATATGAGCAGGATGTGTACAGAGTATTCGTGTTAGATGTTGTTATTAATAATAAATGTAAATCCCGGCTCGGTGACTTCTTTGAAAGCGTGTGATGGTACCCCAACGGCGTGGATCGATGCTCAATAATATCAGTCACAGGACCCGATATAATTATTTACAGGCAGCGTTAACAGCAAACAAACCTTAATGAAAAGATTGAATATGACTATTCAATCAGATACTGAGAATAAGTTGTGGCAGTCAGCTATTGATTAAACTTAAACATGTGTTTTCTTTCATAAACAAATCAATGTAACAAAGCATTCCTATGAAACGACAAAAAACTTATTTGAAATCCATTGGCTCAGGAATGAAACTCGTATAACTAAACAATATACACTTGTAGCGGGATATTATATTTACGTAAAACATAATCATCCAATTTGGTATTATTGGAACTTTTATTTTGTGTTGTTCAAGGTATGCTTTCATCCAACATGATACCTGAAATGTTGACTTTTTGACGGAGCGTCTTAGAAAGGGAGGTAATTCTAATACAACTTACAAATTATGTCCCCTTTTTACGCCAACAGTGTGCATGATGTGATGAACACAAACTGAGCATTATCATGTAAAGACCGATATGCAGCAAAGCTTACAACTATGCAAAAGCCCATTATTTAGTGATTAAGGGTAAGGTAGGTTCGCGTTTTTGATAGTATGACATTGGAAAATACTCGAAAGATAGATAAATTGCTATATTATTAATTATTCTTGAACTCATGTTTTCTAATTCTATGTCTTTGACTCTGAGTAGTCTTAGGATAAAGGTGCAGTTGATTTCGTCTGTCTGTACCATCTTAGCCAAGGGTTTTGCCCTATTACAGTTATTACTATGTAAATGAAAGCTTGTGTTTTAGTAACACTGAGTATGATGTAATTTAGAATTTCCATCTTAGAGCACGTTTTCCTTATGGTTTGTAACACAACAAAAACTCCGATATGTGTGACATAGAATTTATGATCGAGATGAAATAATTATGAAAGAGAAGTATGATCCATGCTATGGCGCCTGTTATCCTCCATTATCCATATGTCCATTCTTTGATGACTTGTCGACCTTCAGTTTTGAAAATATGTGTGACTCAAAATACTGAAAAGTGTATGACCTATACTCAGTGTCATAACTCTTTTACCTTCAAGTTTTATACCAAACTTGAATTGAAGTTCAACTTCTTTCACAAGGTGATAAGGACCACGGTTGGTGCAGTGGTTTAAAAGCTCTGGGATTAACCATGCAGGGTTGCCTTTCTTAACTATGCCAGGATCAGCTGATAGTGGGATCATTTCCCAGATTTGGTTTGTCAGTGGTAAAGGTCAAAGACCTACATTACTTTGGCCCTTCCTTTGACGTTTTGTTGACATGTGATATTACTGAAATAAAGTTCAATCTTTGAATGTAGCATAAATCTAAACTACCGCATTCATAATGGATTGATATAAGTGTTCCTTGCAGGCGAGTGTGCCATCAGGATGACAGTATTTTAAAGCAGACGATGTTCCGGCGAGTGCTGGGTAAATCAGCTGGTGTTCTGTTCTACTTTGTACAGTATGGAGCTATTGCCCACTGTGCTCTAGAGTTCGGTGGGGACTTTGTGATGGTAAGGCCAAAACAAATTATTTTTTATTTTCTTGAATCTCTTGATTCATTTCGTCGCTAATAGTTATTTTTTTTTGGTTAAGATTTTTCCAATCCAAACTAGGACTGTGATGGGTACTCCAGTACCTGATCACTGGTCGAGTTTAGATAGACTTGAGTCCTACATCAAAGATTTGTGTAGTTGACCAGGGGAGAAAACTCACATCTTCACTTCTTTTACGCATGTTGCAGACATGGAAGAGGGTACAGTGTCTGAACTTAAGATGATGCTGAAAAAAGAAAAAGACAAAATGTTTATTATGTGTCATATTACCATTGAAATCAGGTTTTGGACATGGGTCCTTCAGTCCATTTTTTTCTGTTTATTAGTGCCCTAGTGAGAACCATGTTGCTATGACTGACAACTTGATTTCCACTCTATCTTGGCTTAACATGGCTTTCAGAAATGTGTGGGAAAAAGTTAAAATGTTATTTCCAAATCTTTATATAAAAGATCTAGTTATTGATTAGGCACTCCCAAGAAGATTTCACCCGAGTTTGACTGCACTAAAATGAGGAACTGTCAGTGTCAATGTTTTACCTGATGGCACTGTTCCAGTATAGGGGGCACAGGTGGCCCAGTCGTCTAAGGCGCCACGATTCGCTGTGCAGAGTTGCGTCCCTTGGGCACGCCAGAAACCTATGATTGTGGGTTCAAATCCCAGTTCACCCCGATTATGTTTCTAGGTTTGTCAGCACCATACCCGTGCTCGTGGGTTTCACCGAATTGGTAAACGTCTGAGACCTGCAACACTTCGGGCTTTCCTCCCACATTAAGCTGACACGCCGCGCTATAACTGGAATACTGTTAAAAGCGGCGTTAAACCAGGGTTAGAAACTAACAGTTTTTGTCCACTAGTCCTTATAATGATAATATATAGCAAAACCCTTAAAATGGGCCAATTTCTACTAGTCCTTAGGATACCTTTACTATTGGGCAGTTTGGTAAGGACTATAGGACTAGTGCCAATTTCTAACGCTGGGTTAAACCCAACTCACTCACACACTGTTCCAGTATATCGTTGCTGATACCACCAACCACTGGCATTAAGTTGATTAATTACAATGTCATATGGCTAACTACCATCAAAGCAGTTGCTTGCTCACCCAGTCACTTAGTCTGTTAGTCTGAGTCTTGTGAAAATATTGGGGGACTGGTTGTTTTCTCCCACGATCTAGTTACCTTTCATAAACCACTAGTCCCAAATGAGCTGTTGACTAGTTGGATATGACTACTGGTGTCTACCATTGTATTATTCAGATGGGCTGATGATGCTTAAAACATGCCCCTATTTTTTTTATCAAAGAGCAGTCCCTGCTGTATTCTGTGGCCGAAAAATATAAGATCTGTGATCAATGTTGTAAATTCTGCAATCAAATATTTATAATTCAGCACATAACTCTGCAAACGTTTTAGTTTAATTTTTGTGAAAGTTTTGTTCGAAGTTTGCACCTGTTTAACTTGTGGACGGCATTTTTAAAATAAACTTGTCCTCGACTAAAATAGGTTATTGAAGTAAATCTGGAGATCACTAGTGAAAACATGCACACATGCACTTTAATAATAGCAATAATACAAAAGTCAACTTCACTTCAAAATGAAATAAATGCGTTTTCATGTTTAAAACCATCTTTCAAATCACAGGTTAAAATTCTGCAGTGTATTTGACTAATTCTCTGGTAGATAAATGCGAAATTCTGCTCGAGTTCTGCACAAAATGCAATTTTCTTCAAGGTAGGTAAATTTCTGCATGCGTGGGCATTTTTGCAAACTATTCGAGGACCGCGGAATGTAGCAGTGACTGAAAGAGGGATGATGCTAAATGGTGTTTTGCCAGTATGCCATTAATACATTGTAATCAATTCCATGTGTAAAACTAAGGTTCTCTGATCTCTTATCAGAGATTTATGATTATGTTGATGGAAATGATTTTGTTGCTTTTTTCTATTGGGTAATCATTAACTGGGAGATTATGAGCCAGGTGACATGAAGTTTGACTGACTTGAATTAGCCTGCTTGCATATCTGAGCCTTGTCACTGTTTAACACTGCCGTTGTCTGCTTCTCTTTAGTGTAGCGGACCGTCCATGGAACCCACAATACACAGCGGGGACATTGTTCTCACCGAACACGTCAGCACTTACAGGACATTAATTCAAAAGTAAGCACATTCTCATAAACCATCTCCGTGGTGTAGTGAATGGAGCAACTGTCCGAAGAGCGCAATGTTGGTGGTTCGATCCCTGACCCTGTCATATCAAAAAGATTATAAAAGATGGTAGTTGTTGTTACCCTGGGTGGCACGTGACATTAAGTGGATAAAACAAAGACTGGTTGGCTAGGAGTCAATCATCTTCCTGAGGCAAGAGAGTTAACTGACTTTAAAAGTCCAGTTTCCACCCTTGCCAAAGTAGGCTGGAATTACTGGGCTTGATCGTAGCGCCACCAGTGGCTATTACCAGTTATGTCCCTTCTATGCCTCTCCTATGGACCAATCAAATTCCACCTCTTGTATAACTTGCGTTAGCTTCACACAAAATGATGCCGCCCAGTCAAGACGATCTGATAGATAATCAAGATCTATATTGTGATAAAACGTGTCTTACATCGCGAAATGCATCAAATCATGTGGGCACCTTGATTAAAAGCATGAAAAGATTTGGAAAATATCTGCTGACAACAAGTTGGCGGTGCACATGTTTTGCAAATCCTGCAATTGACTGAAATCTGCACGACAGTTTATGAACCGGATTTCGATTTCGGTGCGCAATTTTGATTGGACTATGCAGAGACTCGTTAGTCTAGCCAAAATGTAACTCCATAATACCAGCCTAGTTCGGCAAGGGTGGAAACTGGACTTTTATAGTCAGTTAACTCTCTTGCCTCGGGGAAGATGGGAGTCAATATGCTGGTGTCCATGTTAAACTGTGCACATATAATGGCAATAACCTTGAACATGACATTAAACCACATTTCACATCACCTCACATTTACATACACATTGGACAAGGTATGGTTAGGGCTCTTTTTTGCACACAGGATCTGCATTATTTGAAATGAGCAAAACATTTGGAAATCAATATGAACATTATAAGATGTGTTTTTATCAATGGTAATTATTTTTTTCATGTCAAAATTTATGTTTTAGACATATATAACACAAAGTACAGGCTATGTTTTATCAACAGGGCTGAATTTTGGAGGTATTTAGGAAGATATTTTGCTGTATTTGAACCTGAACAAGTCTTTGACTGAGGTGACATTTGACAAACAAATGCTAAAATAATTCCTTGGGATCACATAGTTTTTCCATCATTTTTGCCATAATAATACACATATAGTAACAATTCTGATTATTTTCAATTACTATGGGCTATGTTCAACTTGAGCGTACATGCTGAAGATCAGTGATTTGTATCCCATGTTTATTTTTTACTCAGTGTGTTTCATGTCCCTGAACTTTGGATCACAATACACAGAAATATGAATGGTGTGTTACAGGGGTGATGTGGTGGTAACTCGTTCCCCTGTGAACCCCCACTACTTCCTGTGCAAGAGAGTGGTTGGCCTAGCAGGGGACAATGTGTTCAACGGGTCATCACAGACATTCAAGAGGGTTTGTATTTACTTCAGTCCATTATTATGAGTTGGACCCAAGAATTTTGTTTGCAACAGGATAATTTTGAAACTTATCCTATCTCACACTATGCATTGCTCATTCTTCTTTCGATCATTAGTGGAAATGTGCTTAAACAAAGGTTTCAATCTTCTAAAAAACAATTCTCCTGAACACACCTAGCATCACCAAGATCACCACCCAACAATCAGAGTCATGCCTGCTTTTCATGCCGAGCGACCTATGTGGACTGAACACATGGTTTCCACAGCTAACTTATTCTCACCACAGTGTGGTGACATGCTCCGCTGGCGAATTCAATTTATTTATTTTCTTTCGTCTATGTATCTCCCACTTTGAAGACTTCAAGCCTTCTTTTCTCCGATCGTTTCTAACATGGACAAACAGGCTAAGGGCCGACCTGCGTGCTTGATTTGCAGGTGGGTTTTTTCCCCTTCTGACCCACATGATGTCTGCTTGGATTGCAGCAGTTGCTGAAGTTCATCTGTGCATTGTTTACAGTATGTCAACCTACCTGACAAATCGCTCAGCATTTATCTACACAAATGCTGACGCAGAGAACAAGAATGGCTGTCTAAATTCCACTGAAAAATTGTTAACCGCCTCACTTCCTATCTTGTCTGTCAATGTCAGTGATGATGAAGTATCTGACAGCTTTCTCACGGAAGACCTTCCTGTCTTGACTGTTTGGTCCCTTCTGAAGAATTTACCATCGATGTCTATGGCAATTCAACCTACTGTTTCGGACGTACGGAAAGTTCTCTCAGTGGTATTGGATCCGACCGCTCCTGTATTTTCTTCACGGTTGGACGCCCTGCCTCTTGCTAACATGAAGCCTGCTGTAGTCTTACTCCTTTGTCACCCTTGTGTACTGTCGTCAATAACGACAATTTTTTTGTGGCTGCAGCTTCGACTTCAGCCTCTGCAGTCACTCCTATTACTGTTTTATCTACTCTGGAAGCTTGTCGCTCCCTGTCTACCTCTTAATATTCCAGATCCCCTGTTTGACGTTCTAAAGACCTATCTACTGGGGATCGGTCATCACAGGATCGTGGCTAAGACTCGTTGGACCCTTCTCTCAATCAAGATTCTCGCAGGTTTCACATTCTTGGGAGTGCTGTCCTGAAGGTCTTCCGATGAGGAGTGGCTTGCAAAGACCGGCTTTTGACGGATAAGCATTCCTCCACAGTTCAATTGCTGAGTCTTCTGGCTCAATGAACTCATGATCTGGGGATGGGTCATTCGTGAATCCTCCCGGATCAACATACTTCTAAGGTCCCTCTAAGGTAGGCGAACTTTTCACAATCAGCGTACCTCTCCACAGCAGCACACTTCCAAGGTTCAAGAAACTTCCGATGTTCAATGTACCTGGCATGGTTCAAAAAACCTCCATGGATTGACGAGCCTCTCCAGATCGGCGATCTTCCACTGAGCGTTATTCTTTCAAGGATTGGCGATCAGGGGATTGGTAATTTACTCATCATCGCTCACGGAGAGACACCTCAGATTCCTCACGTAAATTGTTTCGGAGGACAAACTTTATGCTGATTCTATTGAATTTGAACACTCGTCGCACTTGGCTCACACCTTTTCTTCTGGTCATTTTGACTCTCGCCTACATGATCGTTCTCATTCTTATGACATCATATATCCATACCGAGATTTTCCTTTGAACCCTGTTCCTCATAATGCCTACGCAACCTCGGATAATGACACTGCTAACCCTGATTACAGCTACTATCCCTCTCCTTGCACTCAGCTACTACCGGTAGATGCCTTTCTCCGAAAGCCCTGCCTGAGACTCTTCCTTCCACTGCTCAGGTTGTCCGTCCCCGCCTCTAGTTTGAATTCCACCTGCCCCTTCTGTATCAGATCCTACTGTGACACTACAATCTTCCACATATATACTTCCTACTTCATGTAATCCTGATGATTTAACCTCCATCCAGGCGTAGCAACTTAGAGCAGTGAAGTCAGTGTGCCTCCCTCAATTAGATACTTCCATGGATACAGTAACTTCTGTTTCAGCTTCTCTTTAGCCTACGACATCGACGATCTCACCTCCTTCCCCTGTGGACCCGTTGCCAGAGGAAGATTTTATAGATCGTCATGCCTTCCCTGCTTCTTCCTCAGGCAGTTTTGACATTGCAGATCTTGTTATGGTTTTGACTTAGATTGTGGATAAGCTCCAGCTCCCCTTCGACCAAAGGAATCTTATCATCTTTTCTTGTCCCTTCCTATGACACTTCCAGTTCTGGCGAATATGGCTACAAATTTGGATAAAGCCTTCATGATCTATTACAGTCCCCTCGCTTTGGGTTGGCTGATGCAGGCACTCATGACCTATTGACTTCTGCTCCTGAATTGGAAAGTGACTCTGGGCCCCAAATATTTGTTGTCCTGCTCAATGGGGGATGAAAGAGATTTAGTGCATCTGAATGCAACTATTCGTCAAACACTACTCTTAGTCTCCACTATCCTTTTGGCAACGGAAGCTCTTACTTCAATTTTGGATCACAGATCTTCTCCCGAGGAGGCTTGCATTCGAGGTGCTGTATGTCTTATTCAGGACAAGGTTACAGCCATTTTGGATCTTCTTACTCATTACTTTAAGGTGTGGTGTCCTTCAGTATTGTTCATGGGACGATCCCTTTAAAAATCACCTATACCAACTTTGGTCAACTCCTTCACATTCAAGACAATGCACAGGATTATGAGCGTGACATCTCTCCGGTTGACGGTTGATCTGCTTCGTTTACATAGGACAGCTCATAGCTGACTCCCTGTCCCAACCCGACAGGCCGTCTGTCATGGAATGGGGCCTCCATCCAGTGATCTTTCAGTGGATTTTCCAGGTATTTACGTGTCCTGCCATCGATCTTTTCGCAATCTCCTGGTTAGTATCTCCCAACCCCAATCCTCAGGCTTGGGACCACAACACATTGGCAATCTCGTGTGAGGGCCTACACGCTTACGCATTTCCGCCAACCGGTGTTCTTCCTCGGGTCCTGCAGAAGATAAGTGTCTGCCAGTCACCTCACACTGCTTTTGGTTGCACCCTATTGGCCAACTCACCACTTCACCATGCTCTTCCAACTTCGCAGACAAAAGATTCCATTGTCTACCACTATGGATCGACCTTCTTCTTCAACATCACTCCCAGCTGCTCATTGCCCAAAACCCTCAATCTGTGCATTTGGCGCATTTACAGAAATCCCTTGTTGTCAAGGGTTATTCCAGAAAGGTAACCAAACCCATTTTGGAAGCTCATTGTCAACAAGGTCCCTGTACGACCAAAAGTGGAAAGCCTTTGAGGCCTACTGTCACGCATGTGATATTTCTACACACTGCTTCTCCAATACAAATTGCTAAATACATGTACCTCCATATCTCAGGTCGTCAAGTAAAGCCTCAGGATTCTACCTTAGCCAGTATCTGGCTGTGATCAATTCCGTTGTCGCTACAACAACGGGGGCGAAGGTCTCTACTGTTTTGGAACTGCAAGCCCTAATTTGGTCTTACAAGTTGGCAGACCAGTCATCTCGTTTCCGACCACCAACCTGGTGGAATGCTAGGTGTGTTTGGGTGAATTGTTTTTAGAAGCTGGAAACCTTTGTGTAAGCATGTTTCTTCTCAGGATGGAAAGAAAAATGAGAAATGCATAGTGTTAGATAGGATAAGTACCGGTATATAAATATATAATTTTTTTGTTTTTTGGTCAGTTGTGCAAGATATTTTTCTCTTTTAAAGGTTGAGCTGAGGAATGTTTTTACTCAAAACACATTGTTTTCAGAATATCCAGCATATTGGTTTTGGTTAGTCAATAAGACATTAACATGTGTCATTCTAAAATTATGTCATGTTTATGATGCATTTGAATTTGTGTACCATGAACAGTTTTTGAAGTGAAACATTCTTTTAAGTTAACTCCCTTGACTGACTTTGGTTGTTGAAATGTTCATCTTAGATCCAGCCTGGTTATGTGTGATAACATGTAATGTTTATTCTAGATCCTGCCTGGACATGTGTGATAACATGTAATGTTTATTCTAGATCCCGCCTGGACATGTGTGATAACATATAATGTTTATTCTTGATCCTGCCTGTTCATGTGTGATAAAATATAATGTTTATCCTAGATCCCACCTGGACATGTATGGCTGGAGGGAGATAACAAAGACAACTCCGCTGACTCCCGGGAATACGGACCAGTTCCCTATGCCCTCATCAGAAGCAGGGTGTTCTACAAGGTGGGTTGACAAGACAGGAGTATCCCCAGGTGGGATCAGAGATTGAACTTGTATCGATATCTATACATCTTGTTTTAAGCTGACTAATGAGTATCTAGTATGTAACGGGGTGGTGGGGAGGCAATATTGCCTAATGGATAATGCTTTCGCTCATCACGCCAAAGCCTCGGAGGGATTCACCTCATGGGTACAATGTGTGAAGCCAATCTCTGGTGTCCCCCACTGTGATATTGCTGGAATATTGCTTAAACCCACGTAAAACCCAACTCACTCACACACTGATGTGTGACGTTGCTGATAGCACTGTCCTTGTGACCCCTCAATTTACTCATGCTATCAACCACTGGTTTGCCTGGTCCAACATGGATTATTTACATGCCATGTTCATATAGCTGGAATATTTGGTGTTAAATAGTACGCAAACAAACATGATATCTACTTCCACTGTAACGATGTTGAGTGTAGATGTATTGTTTCAGATCTGGCCCCCAAGGAACATGGGAACACTGACCATGATGCTGGACCAGAACAGATGACCCCTGCCAACATGTTGTATCACATGCAGCCTCAGAAATTGTTTGTTTTAAGACTGGTACAGGGCCCCTTTCCACAAAGCGATCTTAGCACTATGACTATGGTAAGTCTATGTTAAATCATGGGAGTTAAGATCACCTTAGTGCAAAGATTGCTTTGTGGATAGGAGACCTGAGGACTAGTTGAAACCTTAGTTCTCTGGTCCTCAGTTTGTAGTGAGTACTGTTTGAACGAGACAAATATATTTACCACTATCAGATTTAATCAATTTTAATTTGTAGCAAAATTGAAGCTTTGAGAACAGGTTCTGAATTATCGCTCTCAAGTGCTACCAGGCAATAAGGACAACCATCATTGGATTTTTGCTTGTCCTCAGCAAAATGTAGTCTTCAGGTAGTGGTACTGGTAGCGTGAATTTTGAAGGCTGATATATACCAACAGCAGAAGGATGACCCATGACTTTATACTTGGGGTTTTGCTATATGCTAACCTCATGTTTCCATACATATCACGTTTATACTTGACTCATAATAATACTATATATAAGATAGCTGCGTGATGAATTGTGAGACGGGGGCATGGGTGGTCCATTCATCTAAGGCACCTCTATTCACTGTGCAGAGTTGTGCCCCTGAGCTGGCCAGAAACCTATGATTGTAGGGTCCAATCCTAGTCACCCTGATTATGTTTCTCGGATTGTTAGCACCAGACCATTTCACCAAAGTGGTAAATGTCTAAGACCAGCATCGCTTCAGACTTTCCTCTAACATCAGCATGACATGTCACGATATAAATGAAGTACTGCTCACAGTGGTGTCAAATCAGTCTCCCTTGCTCACAGTCAAATATAGCGAAATGTGTTGTAATTAAGGTTTCAAGTTCACTACTAAAAGTAGCCACTACGAACATGTCTACAGCTAGCTTTACCTTTGAACCTGCTTTGAAATATTTGGTATGGTATAGTGACCTTGCTGTATCATTTCACCCCTATTTACTGATAAATGGCTAGCCATGTCATGCATAACAATTTGTGGTCAAGAAGTTTCCACGCGATTTGACGTAAATATGTGTATCGCGATACATATCATTTTGTGACCTATGTATCGTGATATGTATGGTATAGTGATCTTGCTGTATCGTTTCACCCCTGTTAACTGATACATGGGTAGGCATGTCGTGTGTCACATGATGTAGTCAGGTGTAAATTCACAATGCGTCTTTTCAGGGGTTTTTGAGATTCACCCATTACAGGATCACGTGTCTGACATTGAGAAGAATAAAATAAAAATCATTTTTAACAGTAGTTTGTGATCATTTCCATCATGTTTATAGTGTAGAATTATCCTAATCAACTAATCATTGCATCCATGTCTTTTTTTAACAATTTTACTGTTTTTTAGGCTAAAAGCATGAAGATGACCCTGACCCATGACATGAATGATCAATGTCCAAGCACTGTGTGGTTTCAAAAACAAAGTGTGGTGATGTCAGTCGACAAAAGTATCCCAATATACATGGGCTGCTTGTTTAGCCCAGGTGGGTGGTCCAATCCCAACTGTGGCTCAGCTTTATTATCATTCTACACCATCTCAATTTTATCCATGTTTGAGTTGCTGTGTCTTATTATTTTATTTGATTAAGTCTTATTAAAACAACATAAAAATATCACTTCTATAATTGAACAAGACTTTGTTCAAGAAAAATATGTGCAGACATCCCTTGTAAATATATGAGAAAAAAGAAACTCCGTAGAAGCACATCATTCATTAACACCCAAACATTGCATGTTTTCTCCAGTACAAAGTATATTGCTCCTTAATATTTTTATGTTGAAGAAAAGATAATCTGCAAATTTACAGATAATGTGAGAAAGAATAGAAGCCGAATTAAACCGCATTTATTTATATAAAGAATATAGTAAGTAAACATATACTATTTTCCTTCCAATAATTTCTTTTTCTCAAGTAGGTCTATTTGTCAATGTGCAACCCCCTGTGGGGAATCCAGGTTTGAATTGGTCCCAGCAAACTTTTCTGATCTGAAAGGGAGTTTTGAAGTATTGTAGCCACTTCTGAATATTTGACTGTAGTGAGTTTCAATATGGTAGATGAAAACCTAATGCTCCTTCAGAGAGAAGACCTCATCTCGTCTTCGAAAATATTCCTTAAACTGTGTAACTGAATATCTGAAAGACAAATAATATATCAAGGTTAATAGTCATAGTAATAGCCACAGCAGTATGCGAGCATATTGCTTGAACAACATATCACAACAATATTAATCTTAATGATTTGATAAATGATTCTTTCTGCAATAATAATTGTTGTGTCTCACTTTATCTCAATTATCAGCAAGGTGTCACATCATTACATGGCATCAACATTTGTTATAAAGTTGTGTAGTGCAAGCATCCATTGCAGTAGCAGGATAAACATGATATGATCAAATATTGTGAGTCAGTCAGTCAGTCAGTTCTAGGCTGCTTTAGGCACAGAGTCAGTATACTGTCAGAGTACAGAGGGGTATTCATGTTACACTGCGGCACGGTATCTCGGTGGGCTAGCACTATATAATTGCCATAATCCCGGACTAGTTTTAAGCAGCCACATACACAAAAGGACATGCACGCACGCACGCATGCATGCATGCATGCATGCACGTTGCTGTATGAATGCAATAATCTTGGACGTGATGTTAAACCACAGTTCACCTCACCTCACCTCGCCTCGCGGACTCGCAACCAACAACCATCCGATCTTCAGCTCTTGACGGGAGACCAGACGAGTGTCAATTGTCAGTCCAAGCTAGTTTGCATCAAGTCATTCAAAACTCATTTTGTAATGCATATTTTGTGGTGTATACCAATCAAGCAGTTGATGAATACCCCAATTACACACAAACATGATCTCAGACTGTCTCTGTAAAAAAATACAGTCTAAACGGACTTATAAATGATCGTCTTTTATTAGACTATATTGGATGCATCAGGTATTTATATCATCCTCCTGGTTAATATGTCTCTGAACCTCTTTCATACATATTGGCAATCTTGGACAGCAGATATCTCAAATTCTAGTAAATGCGCCTTATATCGTATTTTAAAATCGCCAATAAACTTGAAACATATTCAATAAACATTCCTCCTCACTTATCCTTTAAATTGCTATTCTTTGGGAAATCTTGTCGCCGCCTGCCAATAGAAACCGGATGATCGAATAAAAAACTCCGTTGAATGACGTTTATGCAAGTTGTTTGATAGTTTTGACATTGGAGATGGATACAACTATATCTTCAAATGTAAATATTGTAAATGTAGAAATAAAATACTGTTCTGTTCAAAAGCCGAAAATGGGGACAAGAGACCATAGTACCCCTTAAGACAAGCATGGGGACTGGCAACCGATTCCACCTACATCCTATCCGGCACATGGGGATTCCGACAACAAACATTGTGTCACTAGTGGGGCAGCCTACTCCTCCGGCAGGGATTCAGGAACCTAACATTGTGTCAATATTGGGGCAGGATATTCCGCCCGCAGGGATTCAGGAACCTAACATTGTGTCAGTATTGGGACAGGATATTCCGCCCGCAGGGACTCAGGAACCCAACATTGTGTCAGTATTGGGACAGGATATTCCGCCTGCAGGGATTCAGGAACCTAACATTGTGTCAGTATTGGGACAGGATATTCCGCCCGCAGGGACCCAGGAAAGTAACATTGTGTCATTAGTGGGGCACTAGTGTCACTAGTGGACTGACTTATAAGTTACCGTAGGAAGTCAAAGTCCTTCTTGGAGTATTTAGCTAGTGAAAGAGCCAGCACTCCCCAGAAGAAATTAGAACCCTGCAACAGAAGAACAAGAACGTCAGTGTTTGACTCGCTCACAAACTGGCTTACTATCAATTTGACAAACACTGTTTAATTGACTGGTATCTTGGACATGTTGAATGTATGGACAGGTGTGACTGATATCTTGGACATGTTGAATGTAAGGACAGATTTGACTTAAATCTTGGACATATTGAATGTATGGACAAGTGTGGCTGGTATCTTGGTCATGTGGAATGTATGGAAAGTGTGACTGATATGTTTGACATCCTGAATGTGCAGAGAGATCTGACTGATATCTTGGACATGTTGAATGTATGGACAGGTGTGATTGACATCTTGGACATGTTGAATGTATGGGCAGATTTGACTTATATCTTGGTCATATTGAATGTATGGATAGGTGTGACTGGTATCTTGGTCATATTGAATGTATGGATAGGTGTGACTGGTACCTTGGACATGTTGAATGTATGGACAGGGTGACTGATATACTTGACATGTTGAATGAACGGAGAGGTCTAACTGGTATCTTGGTCATGTTGAATGCATGGACAGGTTTGACTGATACCTTTTTCATGTCGAATGTATGGATAGGTTTGACTGATATCTTGGTCATATTGAATGGATGGACAAGTGTGACTGGTATCTTGGGCATGTTTGACTGATAATTTGGATATGCTGAATGTTTGGACAGGTTTCATTGGTACCTTGGTCATGTTGAATGTATGGACAGGTTTGACCGATATGCTGAATGTTTGGGAATGCCATTACAGTGAAATATGAAAAGGTTCACGATTGACTTTTGTTTTGGTTCACGATTGCAGACGCTCACTATACTAATTAAATGACAGTTGAAATAAAATTGTTAGAGTAAATTATTCAGCATCAAGAAACTGCGAGGTGCTTGGTACAACATAATATATTCTATAAACACAATACCGATTCCTACAAAATGAGACTACTCACTAAGGCACACTGGTTGACCTGTACATAAAGCTTCTCCACATCAGCATCACTGACTCTTGACTGTCTCCCAATCAAGGAATAATACTCCTCCAGGTAAACACGTATCCATGTCAACTGATAGTCACGGTCGGGAAAACGACTGTAATCTTCTTCATATACACCTGAAAAAAAGTCTTTTTAGCTATTGGATATTGACAAGTTACTTTGTTGACAAAATATCAGGATTTCAAAAACGTTCAGAGAATCCTCACACTTGTAGCTAAAAACTTAATATTCTTAAAACCAATTTTGTTCCAAGTAACAAGGTTTGAAACATCCTCGATTACCCAATGGATTCTATCATGATAAATACCCAGGACCCAATTGTTACCATCAGTACCATTTAGATTTGATGGCTAGCTTAGCGTTGTATCTTTCAAATCAGACTCAAAACATATCCGAATGAAATTCAAGTAGTAACTGCATTTCAACAATGTTTTATCTTTTGCAAAACAGGCACTTTTATCTCTTTATTTTCTAAAATGTAATTTACATAGTAAATTTATTAACAGTTTTAACATCACCCTTTCTAAATAGTAACGGCTGCATTGACTAAAAGTTTAAAAACAATTCTTCTGTGCCAGTTGACAAACAAGTTTTAACAACGTTTTTTCAACCAATCAGATTGCAGCAACACCCTTCCATTCATTTTATAACATTTGATAAATAGTCACTGCATTTCAACAATGTTTTATCATTTGCGAAACAGGCACTTTAATCTATCACTCTTTCTAAATAGCAAATGCAGCGTTGACTAAAAGTTTAAAAACAATTCTTCTGTGCCAGTTGACAAATAAATACATTTGGTCATATAATATTAAATAATTTCTTGCTTTATGCATCCTTTTCTACTACATCTATAAATAATTTGCTTAATAGGATCATTGTTTTTTCCCTTTCACGCCCAGTATAATTTTCTGCTTTGTAAAATGTAAAGATATTGGTACGGAAAGAAGCCACATTTCCAATTTCTGCCCTTTTTGAAGTACAATTACACAGTTCCAAAATATACGATCAATAGTTTCTAGTTCTTCGTGACAAGAGTGGTGATAGAGTGGTATATCCAAAATTATGAAGGAATTGTCCAGTTAGGGGGATATTGTGGATAATCCTATCAATGCAGTCTTGAGTGCATAATATTATGGAATAATATGCGATAATATTAAAAACTTTCCAACCATTGTCAGTATACCGAAATATAAATATTTGTTCCTATCTGGAATAACATGATAACTTTACAAAATTTGAATTGAGAAGAGTAGCGTTCAAATGTTCATTTCCGTGTGTAGAGGTGACATGCAGAAGATTGAAAGGGTATACAGGTATACTCTAGGTTTTCTTAAATTGCTTTATATTTGGATTTCGTTCTTATAACATGTCAACGTTGTAACACCTTCATAATTCAAAATATTTGTTTCGATTGTATATCTATTTATGAATTCTTCAAAGGTTAGCAATCTACCTTCCTCGTGTGCTAAATCTGGTGTACATGGTTGGGACCCGTGAAGATTCGGGTTAGAACAGGTCTTCAGCAACCTATGCTTGCCGTAAAAGGCGTCTACGCTTGTCGTGTGAGGTGACTGACGGGATCGGGTGGTCAGGCTCGCTGAATTGGTTGATGCATGTCATCGTATCCCAATTTCGTGGATCGATGCTCATGATGTCAATCACTGGATTGTCTGGTTCAGTCTCGATTATTTACAGATCGCCGTCATATAGCTGGAGCAACAAACCAAACCAAAACCAAAAAAACATGGTCGGTATTTTATCCACTTTAATATCATCAATATTCAATAAACATTGGGCTTGAACTTCTTAGTTCAGTCAAGTTTGGAGTTAATTTAATTAATTTAATAATACATTTCGACCAGGCGGAAAGGACGTCTTTCCAGAATGCATTTGTTTTTGACGTGATAATTGTTTTGTTTATGCAATAACTGTCTGCAAGCGATATCAAATTTTTGGTCAGTCAGTTTAATAAGAATAAACTCCACATTTGACTTCTGTGATGCTGTTATTTCTTTAATATTCGGGGCTTTAATTCTGCCATGTTCTGGGTTCAACATCACGGTGTTTTTTTTATCAAGTTTACTCTTCCATATAAAATTGAAACACTTCTTTTGGAGCTGGGAGGGCGGAAAATAGATGATTCAATTCTGAGAGTAAGGGTGACTTTATAAGTGTTTCACCCATAAGTTTCGGGCATACAGTTTAGATCTGTATCAAAATTAGTTCCAAGAATCAAAATCCATTCTTTGCACATCTTACATCTAGTTCCCTTTTTAGAACAAATCCAGATTAATTTTGTGTTATCCACATTTACCCTAAGACCTGAAAAACGAGCAAAACTTTGCAATGTGTTAAAAACTGCATATAGGCATTTTTCAGTTCCTTCTAATGTAAGCGCTGCATCATCGACGAATGTATGCTCTATATTTCCTAAGTTATTTCCCTTTATTTTCTTATTATTATATTTCGTAATACCTAAAAGTAGGAAGATGTTAATATTTATGCTGAATTTCAGCAAATTTGGTTCAACCGATTTTGAGAAAGAAGTGTCTTTGCAACATCGTCTATGTCTACCGAAGTACACCTTTCATGATGCCTTGAATCTTCTTGTATTTTTAATCCTATCCACACACAAAGGTTTATCCTACGGTGGTTGAGCTGTGCCTTTTACCGGCCACTAAATGATTCAGCTTACTTTCAGTTTGCTTCAGAGGAAGAATACAGTTGCCACATGTTTAAAATTCCTGAACTACAGTTCATCAATAAACAGTCAGACGAATGTTGATCTACACACACACCAGCATATTCGTTAAAATGATTTCCAATGTCAAATGCTTGAAGGTTGTAAAAGCCAAACTCATAGTCTATAAAACCAACAGTTACTTTCATCATTAATAAATCAAAACTTAATCTCATCTACAAATCTCCCAATGGCTCATCTTCCCGAGGAAAGGGCGTTAATTGAGTATAAAGTCCAGTTTCCACCCTTGCCGACCTAGGCTGGAAATCTGGAGTTACAGTTTGTGCATAGTCCAATCAAAGTCGCGTGACGAGCTAGACATCCGGTTCGCAAACAACATGGATTTCAACGTGCAGATATCGGTCAACTGCAGGATTTGCAAAGCATGTGTAGGGGCCCCGACAGTCATGTAGATTTCGGTCGATTGCAGGATTTGCTTATCATTTGCACCGCCATCTCGTTGTCAACAGATATTTTCCAAATATGTTCATGTTCTTAATCAAAGAGCTCACGTGATTTGATGCATATCGCGAGGTATGGCCCGTTTTATTACAATATAGAGCTTGATTATCGATGAGATCGTCTTGAAAGGGCACCGCCATTTTGTTTGAAGCAAATGCATGTGATACGAGAGGTGGAATCTGATTGGTCAGTTGGGGGGACATAAAAGGGGCATAACTCGTCATTGCCACTGGTGGCGCTACGATCGAGCCTGGAAATTCTAGCCTAGATCGACCAGGGTGGAAACTAGACTTCAATAGTCAGTTAACGCGCCCTTGCCCCGGGAAGATGACAATGGCTCCAAACACATAACTGATCTCATGCGGTTCAGTATTAATGGGGTCTAGCCTAGCCATGGTTTTGATATCCCTCATTCGATACATGGTTACTTTCAGATTTTCGTGTTCTACATATCACTAGTTGAGCAATGGGGTAACAATGTCTAACAATGTGTGATAAAGATTTTCAGCGCACTTTTATTGAGGTCTTGTTGGAGATACAAATCATGGATGTTTTAAAAAAAACCAAATAACTGCCTCCCTGATGTACCTATCACACAAAAATAAGTTTTTACAAGCATGGATTACATACCAGTACATTTTAGAAAGTGGTGAACGTATGGCAGTGTCGTCAGATCTTTCGCAGAGAGGAACTGTATCTGAATAAAAGATCTGAATTTAATTAGATTTATGTCGGAGATGTGTGTATAAACTCACTCGACTGACTGTCAAACACCACGTTCAGCAGATGCAAGTCGTTGTGGGAGAAGACAACGTCACAATCGAGGGCCTCCGGTCCATCCTTCAGCATGTTGAACTCTTCCTGTATTGCTGCCTTGGACTTTAACTCACTCTCGAAACTGGGTTTCAGCATGATGAATCACAAAACAAAATAATGGTTTTTTTCTGTTAAACATTCTGATGAAGAAGGATGATGTACCAGTAAACACACCAGAAATGTGAAGCATAACAGCCACAAACTGGTGTGTGTCAGCCATTAGCATACAACTATAACATAAACCAACAGAAAAATATAACTGTGCTTCATATAAAGTTCAACAAATATAGATTTATTCTGAAATGAAGTAAAGCATCTTTCAGGACATATTCAGGTAGACATCACCTCGTCTTTAAAGTCGTGATTCACAATTTGCACGGCGCACAATTTGGATGTTTGCGTGTTGAGAGCATGATTCTCACGTGGTTTTTAATGTGAACAGCACACAATGATAGTTTAGTTATCAGGTTCTCTTAAAAAACACTTTTGTTTAACCGTAAATATTGCCTAAGCAATGCCACGGCATGGTGAAAATCAACATCTACGCGCTGTAGGTATGAAGCAAACAAGAATGGCGAAAAACAAAGTTGCCAGATGTTCATCGAGACACAATATCATCTCTCTTGACACGTTATCTACAGCAGGGAAACACTCATGGCTTGCCACGGGTCGATCATCCACGTGTGACGTCACGTCAACAAGAAAATCATATTCGGTTGGTGCTGCTTCCACATCGCAGTGAGGCACGCCTAGCTTGGTTTCACGTTATGTAACTTTTTAAGGCAGCATAGCATTGCTGTCGGCAGTTTCTCCAGACCTCTCCCCTCTTTAGGATGAGACGAAATGGAGCGATGCCTTGGACAGGACCAGAATGCTAGCTCAGTTGGCCCCGGGGGAACGGGTGGCCCAGTCGTCTAAGGCGCCGCGATTCGCTGTGCAGAGTTGCGTCTCTTGGGCATGCCAGAAACCTATGATTGTGGATTCGAATCCCGGTTCGCCCCGATTATGTTTCTAGGTTTGTCAGCCCCATACCCGTGCTCGTGGGTTTCACCGAAGTGGTAAACGTCTGAGACCTGCATCACTTCGGGCTTTCCTCCCACATTAAGTTGACACGCCGTGATATAACTGGAATAATGTTCAAAGCGGCGTTAAACCCAACTCACTCACTCACTCAGTTGTCCCAATCTTTGGTTGACATTTGGAACAACTTCCTCCAGGCTCTTTTCAATCATGGTGTTTTCAATGTGTCGCAGGTGCCTCGCCAGGTATGGGTTTTGTCAATGAATTTGTTATGATAAAACATTGATCAGACGATTGACCAAATAGTATGTTGTTATTTTCAAATACAACATTTACACCACTTAATATGAAGCACAGTTACCTTTTTCAGTTCCAAAAAGCTCCTACACTGTGATATTTCAGCACTTATATGCTGTTAAAGGAAGTCAGTGACAGTGACAGTAACAGTGTCAGGAGCTTGGTATTATTCCTATAATAATCCAAAGGATCTATGTTTAGCTGATCCTGTGCTGGAAGCGCCCTTTTGGTACAATTGTTACAAACTGAGTTTATCATGTTAATCATGACATATTTAGAAGATGGTCTTGATCTTGTACGATTAACAAAATTAAGTTTTGAAGCTGCAATCACTCTCATGAACATGATAAATTGTAATAACACTGTTTGAATAAGCGATCAAATACGAATCCTTACATCTTCTGTCTCTCTGGTTCGGGGAAGCTATCAGGGACCAAGTTGATATAGTTCTGTAGCATTGTGAAGAGGTAGGGTACAGGATTAGAGTTATCATCTGAATTGTTAAGGGAATGCAATTTGGCCATTTTCTTGGCTATCAGACTGAAACAAAAAAGAAAAACAGTTGATTTGGAGTGTATAATATAGTGATTATGTAAGGATCTCAGGTAAAAATTGGTTCAAAAGGAAACCAAGGCATCAAGATGGTTCAAACGAATGAGTGAGTAAGTGAGTGACATCTTCCCGAGGCAGGGGAGTTAACTCACTATAAAGGTCGAATTTCCATCCTTGCTGAACTAGGCACTATTTATGGAGTTATATCTTGACTGGACTACGAGTCTATGTACCGACAATCGAAATCGACATCTGGTTTGTCAACTGCCGTGCAGATTTCGGTCGATTGCAGGATTTGCAAATCATGTGTACCGCCAAGACGGCGTCTAGAGAATTTTCCCAATTCTTTTTATGTTTTTAGGGTGCTCATCTGCTTTGAAGCACTAAGCACATAGTTTTATGAAAATATAAATTTTGATTATCAATCAGGTCGTCTTGACTGGGCGCCGCAATTTTGTTTGAATTAAATGCAAGTGATATGAGGCGAAATCTGATTAGTCAATATGAGGGACATAGAAGGGACATAACTCGTAATAGCCACTGGTGGCGCTACGATCGAACCCAGAAATTCATAGCCAGTATTCAACAGAGGGGAGGGTGGGGTCTGGCATCTAGTTATCACAGATAATTGGCAGCATTGCAGTGGGTATGTCAGGTCGATGGAAGTTTGATATTAATGATTTCCTCATAGAACTTTCCATTTTGGTTTAATGACATCATTTCCTGTTCATGATGGCATCATTTTCACTGATGACATCACTTATTAGTGATATTGCTTCCGGTTGATGTTACTTCCGGTTCTGGAGTTATTTGTGACATCACAAACATTCTGCGCTCTCGCTAACAGTATAGAATTCCAGATCACTTAGTATTCATGATACCGTAGACGTCATTCCTCCTCATGACATCACTTTTGTCTCAACTTCGGTGATATTGACGTTACTTTTGATGTGTCCTGCTCCATGCTATCCTGGCCACAGCGAAAGTAGTCCTTGAAGATCGGGTTACACGTCACGCAAGTAGAAGTTACAAAAACTGGCAGCTTGACATCACCTGCTTGGTTGAGACTGAGTTCTATGCATCTAGACTTGTTGCCAAGGCTCTTATTTTATGTGCTATTTGACAATAGTGTACTGTCTATGCATGAGCGGTCCAAATGCAGTTGATTGAATTTTGTCAGTACACTCTGGAAGGGACCTGAACGTTATTGAGCTCTAATCATGAGCGTGCGCGAGGAAGTGTCAATTGCATGTAGTTCTGACACTCTGGCTGCTGTGGTCTTAGCTAGGAGATAAGCTGTCTTTTTCGAAGCTAATGGTAGTGTAGCATCTGTCATAGGCTCGTATGGTGATTCAATTCAATTTTGTAAAGTTGCGTGTAATTTTGATATTTTCCAGAGAAAATGACTTCATAAGTCGATTTAGTACTGGGTGAGTACATATAGAGAGACCATTGTTTTGATGTACAGGTGCCAATGCTGACCTATGGCCCTCAAAAGTGTCATGTCTGTAATTCTTCTGAAATTCTTGAGTATATCGTCATATCCACGACTTGCAAACCTCTCCTCTTCGCCGCTCGGTTGTTGTACATGGCTGATGAGTGAATGAGTTTGGTTTTACGCCGCGTTTAGCAATATTCCAGCAACATTACGGCGGGGACACCAGAAATGGGCTTCACACACTGTACCCATGTCGGGAATCGTGACGAGCGAACGCTTTAACCACAAGACTACCCGGCCGTCCCTCATGGCTGATGAAGAGTGTTTCCACTGTCGTGCCACTTCTTCTGAAGCATGTTTAGAGAGGCCAGAGGACTGCATCTTTGCCGCAATAGGTTCCAGGCATGAAGGTGGAGGTTGTGGAGGCTGCCGTAAAATATGTCCGATCTTGGATGGTGCAGTAGATTGTGACGCTCCGCTTGTGAGAGGTGACCAGTCTTGTGAACCATGCTCTGTTGAGCTATGCCGGAGCTATTAATATGATCACACATTCCATGTCTTCTATCTTCCTCAGTGCTCTGTCTAGGAGAGACCAAGGGGGGAATCCACCTGTAGGGCTAATGGGTCTGGTACTGGGCTCTTGTTGTTGAGGCAGATGGCAAAGCGATCGACATGTAGGGTGTCCCACGTTGTGACGACTAATTTAAATACCTGGGGATGATGGGGTCATTCCGTGGGGACGGCACGATCTTGTTCTTGTTCCGTTTCCCAGACTGTGACGAACTTCCATCCAAGTCAGAGAGTCTGCTAAGGCAAACAATCTTGTAGTCTTCGTCATCAAGCGCTTGGATTCTGTTCCCCATTGATGCTGTATATATACCACCATTGTGGTATTGTCCGTGGCGATCAATACCGACGAGTGGTGTACCATATGCATGGTGTTTCCAGTATCTTGAGTCAAAACTCGTAATCAAAACCATGTCAACAGGATTTGGTAGAGCATGTGATATCTGAGGACAGTCAAATACAGCAAGGTACTCTACCTCTAGAAGTGGAATTACCTCTTCCTCTACCTCGTTGTTGGAAGGCAGGTTCACTGCTGTTCTGGCTAGAACTGGAGGGGTGTGTGTGTTGATTTGTTCTTCCATGGACAGCCATGCGTCTTGTCGACAGATATATTGAATTGTGGGAAAGCCAGCCTTGTGTTGGGCAGTTTAGAGTTCTTTAGAAATTCGTTCATCTTTTGGATAACACCATGAAGGAGGATAGGTACATGTGATCACTTTATATTTCAAAGATATAAAACCTCACGCCCATAGTACAAAATAGTTGATAAAATGTACAATATGGGTATACATGTAATTTGACTGAATTTGAGCAAGGTGAAGTACATGTATATCTAAATAATTATTGATGTTCTATGATTAAAAGCAAAGTAGATGATCATGCTGACTATCTAGAAATAGATGAAACGGTTGGTATTGATATAAGGGAATGGGCCTCTTACATTATTTTGGTGGGAGGAGATAAAATATTCATTGATAGTATATTGTTAGTTGCCCGAGTGTGGAGAGGGGATTAGACACTCACTGCTGACCAGAAAGGTTCTCTCTGTATTTTGGAAGTTGGGTTCACTTTAAGTAACAGAGTTGTAAGTTGATAAGAGGTGTCAGTGCATCATCTAGATATGTGTTGTGTATAGAAATGTCAGGCAATAGAAACACATCTGGGGAACTACTGTGTGTAATAAACAGGTACTCTCCAATAAATCGACGTGAACAAGAAATCTGACTTGTGGTTTGAACGAGCTGCATCATCACTGGAACCAAGGATTGGTGATGAGAAGTGGCCGAGGTAGAAGTGAATGACATTCCGGAGTATTTAGTGAACGCTCACATCCCATGAGCCCATGACCACCGTATCAGTCATGAACTAAATTGCCTGATATGTAAATAGGACGGAGGGACGGAAAAGGTCCTCAGAAACGCATGCTTGTCGTAAGAGGTCATGTCAAGGATCGGGTGGTCGTGCTCTGTGGCTTGGTTTATTAGTGTCATTGTTGGTATTGTACCCCCAACTGGGTGGATAGCTGCTCCTCATCACTCAATTGTTCAATTACTGGGTTGTCTGTTCCAGATTTGATTATTTACAGGCCACCACCATATTGCTGGAATATTGTTGAGTGCAGCGTTTAAGAACAGTTTGAATAACAATTACCATTATTCATATCATGTCACATTACAAGAATATCTAATATTTCAAATTATTATTCTCAATTTGTTCAACCATTATAATTATTCCTTTTACCAACAAGTTCCGTGCTGCACAAAAGAATATTAGTCTACAAAAATACTTTCTGGACAATTTCGAAACCTCAAAACCTCAGTATGACAATAATTCTGCCAATTTCTATCCTGTATTTTGTCAAAGGTCAACAAAGTAAGAATGACTTCAAATATTTTCCACTAGTATGTCAGACATCTTTGATTTAAACTAACTGGTCCTGATAAATGTTTACAAACATTTGTCTCGTCAGCATATTTGATGAATGCTATTGTCATGCATCTAAAAAATTGTCACTTACGTCGATATATTTGCATCCCTCACCATCTTCTCATCGAGAGTTACCCCTTTCACGAAGCCGTAGGCCATGCCGTTGGTGATGGTGCAGTAAAGGGGCGGGGCAAACCCTGCCACACCCAACAGGATATAATTGTCCTTCTCAACCTGTCTATCAATGATCAACTCGGAGTTCTCCCCATTGATCCGCACCAGAACCATGTCATCTTTGTCCGGCTGGTAGCCCCCGACCAGATCATTGAACAGTCCCTCCTTGAATTGCTGCAGATACACAATAAGCATTAACATGGCTTCAGATTGATGAGGGGCAAGTGAATTGCTGCACGTACACAATTCTAAGTATCAAAAGGTCAAGATGTATCAATGTTACATTGTTATACGTTTTCTTTACAGCCTAATGCAAAAAGAAAAAATGTCAAGTATCATGTGAAATATTAGTTATGGTTTTCTTTTAGTCTGAGCAACATTTCAATTCTACTTCATGTGTTAATTGATTAATATGTAAGCTGGAAAAATGAATTGCTGTTCAGATGACAAAATATTTCAATTTGTGACGTCATGAACAATGTAAATGACGTCATAAGGTATTTGCCTCAACAATGAACCAATGCGACGTTCCTTCAACTGACCAATTAGCATTGAGAATCCCTAAAATGTGCATATGTATATATCGGAACGGTAGTACACTCGATCTTTCTCACCGTTTGTGTAATAATTGATATCAGTCTTATTGGTACCTTAAATTTAAGATTGTGAATGTCCCATTCAGGTTTAACACGCTTGATGATTTCTTGCTCCATCCTCGATCTTTGCACTGTCAACTGAAATCTCGTAGTGGGGAATAGTTGCAGCCATGTCGATGGCGCTGTCTACGACCGTGTCGCTGTGCAGTTGCAACGTTCCAGCGTGATATGCTTATATCCGGGTACTCTGAGTTGGAGAAGGAGAAGGCTCCTGAGCCTTCAGCCGAGAGCCGCGATGTGGTCCGACGGGTAATGTGCCGTGTGCCGGGAGCCACCGGGAAGTGCCCGTAAGCGTGGGTTACATAGACTGGCGGCAAGTCTTCGTAACTAGATCCCTTATTCCCACGCTGTGGTTGGAGGTAATGCGACTCGTCCTCATATCACAAGCTGTCACGCCTACATGAGAGAATTATAATAATTTTGCAATGTTCTTCACCTCTTAATATCATGAAAAAAAAAGACAAAAACATCTACTGTTTGTCAGAAGTGATAGTTCCATACAAAAACGACAAATTTCAAGTTATTATGTCAATTCTCAGTCTGCTGTATGGTTTGAGGATGAATTTATATGACCATATCGTCACTGCCACACCCTTTAGTTCCATTCTAATTAATCCAGCCTGCACAGTTTCCAGGAAAGTCAGACATATTACCAAACTCGGTAGTTGTTTAATACATGAAGACATCCCCGCCAATAATATGGTCCATATAACGAGTTGGTCTGCCTAAATGTAATTATTACTTCAATATTATATAATTTAGAAGACCCGGGTTCGATTCTCCACATGGGTACAATGTGTAAAGCCCATTTCTGGTGTGCCCCTCCGTGATTGCGGGAATATCGCTAAAAGCGGCGTAAAACGATACTCACATATCAATTATTCAAATAACAGTAGATCTATTTGTGTTATTTATTTCATTTCTCCCTGATACTTATGTGTCCTCAGTGGTCAGTTTATCAGCAACCTCATCCATGACAGCCGTGCATGACAAAACTCTAAATACGCGCATCACAGCTGAAGAACTATGGACAACTATAAGGGCACGCTTATTTATTTTTGTGTTACTCATCTCCAAGGGTTTCCAAGAGGGGGTGCGATCGGTTGTAAAATGAAAAGGAAGGGGGAAAACAGGTTCGATATTGCAGATTACCTATTCAAGGTGGTTCAAACTTACAATGTGAAACCCAAGTCTAAAGAATTGACGTTGTATACCAAATATTTTGGCTACATGTCTGTTCGACTGTTGAGAACAAGTTGAACACGCAAAACTGAAATTTAAACGCATTGTGGAAAAGGATCTATGAGGAAAGCACATACATGTAGATGAAAAAGCAACCATCACATAAAGTCATATTATAAATAAAGAACACCCCTTCCATTGACCTATTTCAAGTCATAAATGCTGCATAAAACACAGGTTCGAATCAGTTCTAAAATAACTTTAATTTTAAAACCAATACACTCTCCAAGTAAGTGTTCTACTTCTGAACACTAGACAGAACACATAGATGTAACACCTTTAATCTGAACGTTGATGTTCTCGATCCAGAACACTACCGTCTCAGATACTTGCTTCTACAGTACTGACTTTGCCCGATGCTATCCAGGGAACATTGTCTTTCAAGGAGTAAGAATTCATACCATAGCTACACAAACCTTTCTTTGGCATTCTAGGAGTTGGTGAGTAAATAAGAAAACATAATTTTTTATTGAAACAACATCTGGTTTATTGCGATTAGCAACGTTTCGTTGCAGATTCTTAAACCTTTATCAAACAAGAGTGACTACAACCAAGTGATGTATATATTCATGATAGGTTGTGATAAGCAGCAGCTTAACAATAACGATAACAGGTAATGGATATTAAAGAGCATATAGATAACTGGATGAAGCCAGATGTACTATTAGAATAACAAATAACACACAGGTTAATGTTAATTTGCCGCTTATCATCCACATACGTTATATATATGAATTATTTATTGTATTTATTTGTCAACAATATGTGACTTCCATTATCATTCCAAATTATGACATATATATATTTTTATAGATAGACAAATCATACATGTGAGTCGGAGTTCTTCAAAAAACAAAAATAGTTCTCGTCAAGAACGTTGATGGTTTGATGTCGGTGGAAGATCATGCCCTCGCTTCCGAAATGAAGATTTTTCTGAGATTTGTTGCAGCCCCCTTCGCACTTTCATATTCGAACATCAGTGAAAGGAAATGAATATATAGTTCAGGTTTTAAACCTGAACTATATATTCATTTCACTTGAACATCATTTCGGAAACGTTCAAATGGTCAATTGCAAACAGAGATTTGTGATGATAGCAAGTATTGGAATTGCATCTCACACTTTATAAATTATGCGTGTGTTGCAGTGATAGAAATGACGGCAAAAATGGCGACGTATATGTCGTCTTCAATACGTTTCGTGTGGGGCAGTTATTACTCCTTGTATGATCATCCTATGGTTTTATCACCGATATATTACTCAATGGAAGGTAAGGATTGAATATAAAACAAAATTATACTCAGATGGATTCTTATTACCACACATACCGTTAGATAATATTAATTGTAGCGCCAAATGTCTGCGACCTGGCGCCAGTTTTCTCACAGAACAGAAGTGGCACACAGGGCAAAGGCAGCTTTGAATGCTAAACAACATAAATTTACGAAACAAGGGGAAACCGTTCACACAGAATTAGTTTATCAGAATATGTTTATAATTTATTAAATCAGAATGGCAGATTCCCCTAATTCAATAAAATATAAATTATACAAAAAAACAATGCAAAATATGCTTTCCTAAGTAAAGCAGATTTAATATTTTAGAAGCATTCATGCAATAAATTCCTACAATATTTACAGACGGTGCTTTTTCGATTTTCAATAGCTGAACGAAAAAAGAACAACTACAGACAACTTAGAAATAAAATCTCACATATGTCACGCAAATTCCAGAACTAATATCATAAGCACTAAGGTGTCTGCAAAACAATATGAATCAGATTGTCTTCAATCTTCTTGTTAGAAGACTGGAGATCGAAGCACTAGTGTATATTTTAATAGTGGTAACTGTCCGGCAAGTTTTGGCAACCCTTACGGTTTCGTTTGTATTTTTAAGAAGTACGAAATGACAAAATTTAAGTACAAATAGATGGAATAACAGTAAATTGCAAGTAAACCAGGCGTGAAGATGGATGAAGGGAGGCTTGAGGTTAGGAGTCAAGCTTACTTGCAGTGCAAAGTCGCTTAACTCACTTATCCTGAGAAAATCAACGAAGGTAGTGCGCAGGAGGTTTTCAAAAGTGGAAGTCAGTTATGTCAAAAATCAACTTCTTCGTGTGGTAGAAACTGCGATTGTTCTTTGTTAATTGCAAAGCCTGATTTCTGCAGTTGCATACCTGCGTTTCTGACATTTTGTGAACTTTCAAACTCATCATCTCATCGCACGTAAGAATCGTCAAGATAAGGAACGACAATGCCTTCCATCTGCCTTAAAACGGCATACACTTTTTCCAGCAAAATCATAATTTTTATTTATTTTATTTTATTCATTATTTTTCAGTATCCATTTTAATCTATGCATACACACTATTCTTATTGAATTTATATACAAGCATCTACGTACCACCTTTTTTAATCCTGGTAAATATAGGAGTCACACATTCTCCCTAACTGTGTTCTGTTTTCACAATATTTGTTCTTTTCAATATGTAAGTGTATTCCGTAGAATTGGCATAAGGATACGTAGTAATTAGGTCAACTGTCCTTTGATTGTTTGTATTTGAAATGGTTTTAAACCCTGAAACAGACTATATATAATTGATGTTTTTATTTTTTTAGGTTTATAGTTTTATTTGTATGTGTGCCGGATCATTTTAATACTTGCTTTTGAATATGATCAATGTCTCTGTGTGGGTCAGTGCTATCCCTTGCAATCATTTTCCAAAGCTCATCTTTCTTCTGACGACCGACCATAGCATTTATATTTCATGATCCCATTCTTGTTTTGGAGAGTATATATCCCATACATAGATAATGTAAATAAAAAATGTCAACGCCAGAGAATAACCAGTCTGGATTATCCGACGAAATATCCGATACGCAAAAGGCAAAATAGCTGTGAATCTTATGTGAATGGATTACTGAAAATCAGTAAGGACACCAGGTGTTCAAGAAAAGTGTAAACATGTCCTGCTTGTAAAACATGCAGTTTTGAAGATGACAATAATTCACAATTTTCAAACGTTCTTGCCACCAAACCATTCTTTACATCCCGTTACATGGGAGAAAACATATCAACACATTTTTGAACCAGCACTTTTAAAACTCCTGTGACTTCTTGATTTGTAGTCCTTCACGCTCCCACCTGTGCAACAGAGACTGTTGACGTCACATGTGTCATTGTTTCCCAGTCGCTATCATCTTGGCTTGGATCGTTTGCACATTATTGACCGGACACTAATATTGACACACACGCACGCAGGCACGCAGGCACACACACGTCGCTATAAAAGTGCAATAATCCTGGACGCGACTTTAAAGCCAATTTCACCTCACCTCGCCAAGTAAAGTACTATGTAATAGTGTACCAAGTTCGTTTAAGTCCTGGTGGTATATGTGTTATGCAAGGGTCTGTGGCCGGACAGAAACCCTAGAAACTCAGCCGAACACGGTCACCCATCCAAGTACTCCCCGTGACTAACGTTACCTGTGAATTAACTGAAATATTGCTCAAAGCGGCGTTAAACCAAACTCGCACACTCGCTCAAATCAAAGAAGCCCATGTACAGAGTGGCGTCCCCCATGCGTACCAGACAATTCCCGAGTCGACATGATTGTGTTTCTGGCTTTTGACCTGCCGTACATCCTCGATTAAGCGCCCAGTCGTATATTTCGTTGAGAAACTACCCCCCCCCCCCCCCCCCCCCCCCCACACACACACACCTTATTTTTGTGTTTGTATCTTAGAAAGGAAATGTATGACAACTCAAATATTGTCCAAACTTATGACATTTATGCTTTTTATATATCATGGGCGTATTACGACCAACTGGTATCTTTAAATTAAAAAATGTATTTTGTCTTCGGCATCCATGTCTATATAGTAAAAAAATGTTTAGAAAGCTCCTCCTCAATAAACATTTAAGATTCTTAACGTAAGCCTGAAAAATAAAAGATAAAACAGGATAAAATGTTTGTCCTTTTAAGTGCATACCTCTATTAAATGCATCCATTTCATTGACAACTAAATTATGTAACAAAACTTGAACACACATCATTATCGTGGGATTCGAGTTATACAATCCATTTCCGTTGGGGTCATATGATGCGGATAGAGATGCAAATATCAAAGGTCAAGTGTGGACTACTTTCACTGTTTACAAACAAACATGGCGTCGCCCTCGTCATTCGGCGATCGAGTCTAACAAACTGAAAATCAGTGTCCAAGTGTGACGTAGCTAAGGTATTTTATAAGTTTTGGCAACTTTGGAGATATAAATTTCGAAACAATTTTGCGAGGGCACTAGGCCTAGCCAAGCCGGACCAGTAGCCATATCTGTGCTTGTAGACCTCTGCGGCTTGAAACCTTCTCCACAAATTAAAATAGTTGTATTTGGCCGAAATATGTTTGAATTGTTACCTTGTTTCGTTTTGTCGCTGTGTGTACATCTGATTGCACTTCTTAACGTTATGACAGGACACACCGACTGTCAACAACGTCTGACCGTGGCCGTGACGTCCATAGACTAGGGTTAGAGTAGCTTCCCTTTGACAAAGGGCAGTTACTCTAGCGGACAGACCGATGGATTGCCGCGAAAGGCAAGTAAAGTGAATTGTTGCTTTGCGTATATGTTGCTTCGCCACTGTATAAGAAACAGATTTTAGTTGGAACTATATTGGCTACTGTCACTGTCCGACTGACACATCACTTACCCTGTGATGTAATAAATATCAATGCGCCAAGGCTCGCTAATACAATTTATATTCCTAATGCAAGATATTTACCATCCCCAAACACACTCGCGTGATAACCTGAATATTTGCAGATGCGCACTCGGTAGCGTCTTCATTACTATTGTTTCATGGTAAAAAGAATACACACAAGGTCAGCACACGTTTTCTCAATTAAACAGATTTCTCAAATTCTAGTTGAGATTTCTCACAATTCTTTGACACGGCACTAGATTCTACATCGTCATTTTTAATTCTATTCAGTTCATTTTGGAGGGGTGACATTGTAGATTATGAATCCACTCTTAACTCAAAACCGACCAGTGGTCCCTCACCGTTAGCCTCCCCCATATGTCCATAGCAGAGTCTATGAGTCGTCTAAAAGGATCGGGTGGTCAGTTTTTGCGACTTGGTTGAATGCATGTCAATTGCAAGCATCCATACTAATGATGTCAATCACTAGACTGTCTGGTCCAGGCTTGATTATTTACAGACCACTGTCATATAGCCAAAAATATTGCTGGGTGTGGCATTAAACAAAAAACAAACAAAACAAATTTGCAAACCTAACTAAAGGTTTACAACTAGCCTTGTGTTTGAAACATGAAACAAACTCTGTGTTCACTAAAAAAATTCATAAACCATTTAACACAGCCTGTATTTCGAATGTATTAACATGCTGTTAGTAATCATTTCACAAAGTCTTCAACAAAAAACAACATAAACACAACACTACTATTAATTGATAAAAAATACTTTATTCAAGAAAAATCTAAATATACATTGTAGTATATATGTATACATTATTAGTAAAAATAAATGTGGTACATGCATATCAGACATGAAAGTTGGAATACTGCTGTTTGAAACTTTTCTCAGATGCAAAGTGCAATGTTCCTTTGCTGATAATACTCATCATATCAAAATGAAATCAGAGATATCTTAATGTCTGAGGAAAGAAAATTACAGATACAGTGAGAAGGAAAGTAAGCCCATTAAAACCACTCACTGAGACTGGTACATGAACTTGGTGTTACCAGGGATTTATCTTGGATTCCAAACAAAGTGTCCATGGACAAAAAACATTATTTTTTAAACATGATACAAATTGGGATTTTTAAAAAAAAGTTTGTTTTTTCTTAAATTCAGACATACATGTATCTTAAAATTGTGTTCAATGCAATAATGTAAAATGAAGTTTAGGCCACTTTCTCTTTATTGGACTTGTTATCAGTAAAATACAAATAACATTAGTGATAACTAAAATAACATGACTTGGGAAATTTTATTTCCAATTTGGGAACTTTAAGTGACAGTTTTTTGGGGTTTTGGGCCAAATATTGAGCAGGTCAAGAGAAATGTCCCTGTGTGATAGGTAGGGAGAATTTACACTTCAAGGTTTTACATTTGTAATGAAACAATACAATTTTCCGGTAGACAGCTACACCAAAAGTATATAATAAATAGGATATATGTCGAGTGAAATATCATGTTACTCTCATCTCGTGACGCGACTCGTGAAAATATCTCCTTTCACGCCCCATCACTTGGTGAGAAAAACATGATATTTCACTCGACACATGAAATATCCTCTATATAAAATTCTGACTACATCTGTCACTCAAAACAAATAAGGAGGACCATACTATCTTGTCCAGTCATAGCTGAAACATTGTTGCACCACCACCACTATAAAGAACAGGTCCCTTGCATAAATATGCTCTTCATATTACAACAGCTGTCAAAGTTCTAATTACTGAAAGTTATACAGAGCATATAACTTACCAAGTAGTAAACATATTCTCCCCTCATTCAAAAAGCCAATCTATATCTGCAACATAATTTGAACTTCCAACATTCTAGTTTCCTACAGATCAACTACACACTATATGTTAATATGGCTAGGATATCATGGTCAAATACATATCGCAAATCTATAACCACTTGCAACTTAAGTGCAAGTCACTTTTACAAGTAAAAACAAAATAATTTCTAACCCTGTAATTGGTGATAGAGTACTTTTGTTATGACTGCTATGAAATCATCCATGTACTATATCAGTAACAACTAACACATGAGAATCATCAAAAACATTCTAAAGGTATCATATTGCTTCTTAAAAAAGACCTTCACTGTGACCTTGACCTTTAAATGATAACCCAAAAGGTCCAGCTCTAAGCTTGATGGGTAAGGGGAGGTGAATTGGGGATAATGCTGTGTCCAAGATTATGAACTTTTATAGCGACATGCATGCACGCGTCGGTGTGTGCATGTGTTCATTTGTGTGTACGCGCAGATGCTTGTGCACATGCGTGTACTAGTCTGGACTAATGCCGATTCTATAGTGCTAGCCAACTGAGACACCATGCCGCAGTTCAACATGAATACCCTACTCAGACGCAGCATACCGATTCCGAGCTGACCAGTCCTTGTTTTAGCCCCTTTATGCCTAGCGTCAAGCAGGTTAACAACAAGTACCATCTTTGAACATCTTTTGGTATGCCCCGGACCTTCCGCTCTCCAGGTGGACGCTCTACCACTAGAACACGGAGATGGTCCGAAGCATGATGGAGATTACTACAAAGTTTCAACTCTCTGCCATCAACACTTTTAAGTGAAAACCTTAAAAATAAATAAAATGTTTCACCCCTACATATGCGACCTGATCAGTTGATGATACATTGACGTACTATAAACCTGATAAAAAGTCAATTTCACTTTTCCATATTCATGTATCATCAATCATGTTCATAGAACCATTGTTTAGGTAACCGCAAAACAATATTAAAAAGTGTTTCTCTACAGTAGATTACAGTACTAATACAATAATGCAGGAGCCCATTTGTTTTTGTTATTGGGTCAAAACCAACAGTTTTTGCAAGAAATCTGTCACATCAGCATTGGTCAGGATTCAAATGAGTTATAGAAACTCATAGTAAAATAACATATATATATTATCAGCTGTAATCATGTTTATAGTGTATCAGTTATGCAAATGTACTAATCAGTACATGCAATTCTTTAAAATAAGACCAAGGACAAGGTAAAGAACTCAAAGAGACACATCCACTTCACAGAAGCTCACTCAAAACTCTCTTCAAAGTCCCATTAATACACCAAGTTCCGTTCACATAAAGTCAACAATTCCTCAGCTATCTCGACTTTTGAGATCTAAGCTGGATGAAAAATCAAACAAATCATTACATAAGAAGTATCTTCGAGTTGTGATTGCTGTGTTGTCCTGTTGAGCAAATGTAGGCATAATGACATCAACATAATCAATAGAAGAGATGGTCTGTAAAACTGGTCAGATATTCAGTGTTTTAATGGCATTTAGAAGTGATACACATAAGGAAGAGAATTTATGGATGTCAACTTCTTCTTTATATTGAGGAACACAACGTTTCGGAGTATATGCTTAGTCCTTCATCTAGCGTAAGATATTGTTTCATCATAAAATAAAAGGAATGTTTAGAGACAAAATGGTTGACCTAGATGATTTGCATATTTTGACAACAAAAACTCTGTGATTTGTACATTGCACGTCTTTGTTCTGTTGATATTTGAACAATAAACTGTGTACCTTTTCTTTTCACAATCAGTCACGGATCATGGCTTCAGGTGGTATACACTTTCTCCTATCAAGTACAAAAACATTGGAGCCAGTCTGTATACTTTCTCCTTGATCAAGTAAAAAACATTGGAGCTAGTCTGTACAGTTTCTCCTTGTCAGAGCAAGTAAAAAACATTGGAGCCAGTCCGTACACTTTCTCCTTGAACAAGTAAAAAACACTGGATCCAGTCTGTACAGTTTCTCCTTGATCAAGTAAAAAACCTTTGAACCAGTCTGTACACTTTCTCCTCTATTATTGAGGCAGATACCAAGTATTTATTTACCGCCACATCCTACACACATTATGACTAGTGAGTGAGTTTGGTTTTACGCTGCTTTTAGCAATATTCCAGCAATATCACGGTGGGGGACACCGGAAATGGGCTTCACACAATGTACCCATATTATGACTAGTAAATTGGATCACAATGAGATACCTGCAGTAACTAAATCGCCACTGTCAGGTCAAATTGTCAAAATGACTTAAAAATGAGATAAAATACAAATAAACTTTGGAATTTTTTTATGTGTTTAGTAAAATTAGTGCCACGACACTGCTGCTCACTGGGCACAATGAGGGAGATATTAGCTTGAGCTCAGGAGAAGATTCTGAACAGTTGTTCCCAATTCTGATATTTGTTTCTTTAAACACATCAAATTAGTGAAAAATATTCTTTAATTTCAATGCCATTAGCAAATTTGAATTGTCATGCTACAAATGATTAAATAGCTGTAAATTTACTGAAAACAAAGAAAACTTGATATACAGTTAACTACAGTTATAACGAACACGCTTATAACGAACTGACCGATATAACAAACTTATTTTTTAGTCCCGTCCATTTGTTGTATATATGCTTATAACGAACTACGGTTATAGCAAACTTAAATCAGTGGTCCCTTTGAGTTCGTTATAACCGTAGTTTACTGTAGTTAAGTGGACCCCCTACTCCAAATTGCCGAACATCAAACTTTTGAATGGCTCTTGATAATGGCCAGATATGTTTCAGTTTTATCCATTCAACCATTTTCAGAGCAAAAGGACAGATGGAAAACATACAACGTGCCATAATCTGACTGTCCTGATGAGCCAAAAACACTTTGACCTTAGTAACAATGTTATTATGGGTAATATTACCCTCATAAAATCCATCCTGAGTGAGAATCATTGTAACCATGGTAACAATAAGTAAAACATTATCACATCAACTTTGCAGCATCAATATAACATTCTACAGTCAAGTGATCAAAGCAGAATATGGAGCATATTGTTGACAAAGTGACAAGATGTACAATATTTATTGTAATCCTACAAGACAAGCATAAGATCTTGCCAAACCTGTTTCTAAAATTATGAATTAATAAAAGGTAGGCATAACAAGAATGTAGAATACCAATCTCATTAAAACCAGATATTTTACTCCGATAATATTCCTCTCTGTATGAAGATTTTAGGACACCTCAATAGGAGGTTGTGAGATGAACTCTGTGTGAACTTTGACCACCTAATCTAAATATTAGATTACGTTTCATTTCTTTACATCCTTGATTTTGATTACATCTTCATGGCAGTCATAATTATTGTCCTAAATTTCTAAGATTTGTCTTAGCTAAAGCGGCATCAAGTATAGGCCACCAGATTTAAATGATTGTCACAAAAAAATAAACAAGAGCAAGTATACATCCTAATGTAAACATAGCTACTACTTTTATTATAAGGGAGTCACATCGCCATCACATACATATTAGGGCACATACACCTAGGGCTGGAAAAAAAGATTGATAATCAGAATTTTTGTGGATGGGAAGAAATATTAACGATTATCGATATGAAAATTGTGTCATCGATGATATCTTACACAAACAATTGTGATGAAATAAAGTTTAGATTTACTAAAACGAACTTGTTATTGTCAGTAATGTCAATTGCTGAAGGTGGAAAGTAACTGTTTTTGTTATATCTCATGTGTCCACAAAGTTATCCCTGAATAATGTGCCACCACTCATTAGTGGAGGGAATATGTTGATTTCTTTCCGACTTTTTTTGGCGTACTTACTCAAAGTTACTTCTCCGATAATTGATTGATATTTAGTTAATGATTATCTATGATCTGTATCTATAGCTAGCCCAAATACATACTCTGTGTATTGCACCCTATTCAACACTTTATAACTGAGTATTGCAATATTGTAGACACCTATGAATATTTGACTGTAGTGAGTTTCAATGTGGTTGATGATTTTAAATCTGAGGCTCCTTCAGAGACAAGAACCCATCTCGTCTTCGAAAATATTCCTTAAACCTTGTAACTGAATATCTGAAAGACAAATAATATATCAAGGTTAACTGTCAGCAAGTTAATAGTCATCATGGTAATAGCCACAGCAGTGTCAGAGCATTATTGCTGAAAGAAATCACTGCAATATTGAACTTCATGATTTCACATTTGGCCTGCAAAGTTTTTTGAAACAAATCAACCTGCTTCTTTTTACCATGAGATCATTTTGTCATGAGTTGAGGTGAAATAGAGAATCTCACTCGAGTGTCATTTGATATCAAATGACATGAGGGTGAGCTTTTATTTATCATCCAACATCATTCTTCCAACTTTTTCAGTTTGTAGACAGTAATAAGCAGTGTCTAAGCGTAAAAAGTACTGCTTATAGCTTCAGTAGCAGAGCCATTAGTGATGTCATTTAAATTGTGATGTCATGGTAACTAATGACATCACAATGGTCTGCAAAGCATTGTGATGCAATTTCATTGCAGCGATATCTACACTGTACTGTAGATATTGCTAGATCTCACCCAAGCCATATCTCCTGTGGGAGCCAGTTTTGGATGATAAATAGGGTTAAAGTCGCGTCCAAGATTATTGCACTTATATAGCGACATGCATGCACATGTGTGTGTGTCTGTGTGTGGCTGCTTGTACTAGTCCGGACTGATGCAGATTTATAGTTTAACATGAATACCCCACACAGACACAGCATACTGACTCCAAGCAGACCAGTCCTTGTTTTAGCCCCTTAATGTCAAGCATCAGTCAGGGTAACAACAAGTACCATCTTTAAACGTCTTTTGGTATGACGTGGCCAGGGATCGATCCCCAGACCTGCTGCTCTCCGGGCGGACGCTCTACCATCAGACCAAGGAGGAGGTCACTTTGTCATGAGAGAACATCAATATCTCACATCAAGTTAAATAATATAAGCACAAGTTGCAGGTGAGGTGAGGTGAGGTGAGGTGAGGTGAGGTGAGGTGAGGTGAGGTGAGGTGAGGTGAGGCGAGGCGAGGCGAGGCGAGACAAACTGGGGTTTAACGTCATATTTGAGATACAATACAGATATTTTTTAATACAATAGGAGGTTATCTATTTTTAGACATGGCGTCAATTAGTGTGATTGATAATTGATTATGGACGTCATTGCGCGAAGGGGGAGGGATCCATGTGTTTTGGGGCTTGTGGCGGGGTCACAGATTTCAACTTCCATCATGTTCGGGTAAATATTAAATGTTAATTAGAAGTAATTGTAATCATAACCGCTGCAATAGTTTAAACAAAAAGTTTATTAGTGCTAGATCTATTAAAATATTGTAAAGTTATCAAATCTTTGTTGTTTATAAATACATTTGTGTGTTCAATGTGTAATTTTAGCTGGCGAACTTGTGTGGCTGTAACTTGTTTGGGGTCGCCAATACTTATATCAACACACTTCTGCTCTGGCCAAACTCATAAATAATCCAAAATAGGCTACCCAGGGGCGTTACAATTTCACTTTTATAGAGATATCTTAGCATATGTGTGTGTGACTGCTTGTACTAGTCTGGACTAATGCCGATTTTATAGTGCCAGACCACTGATATACCATGATGCCGGAGTATAACATGGAGACCCTACTCAGACACAGTATACTCTCCAAGCTGACCATTCCTAGTCTTATGTTGGTAAGACCATGTTATTGCCATGCACCAGGCAAGGTAACATCAAGTACCATCTTTAATGTCTTTTGGAATGATGAATGTCACTGTATTGAAAAACCAAGCTTGTCACGGTATTGTGACTGTAGCGCTTTCCCCGCTCGTAACTGTCTGGCGGTTGGCATAGTATGGTGTCTTTAAGCTCATCAGCTTATTGTTAGAGAATGTTTTTCCCGTGAGTTTTACTCTCTAGTATTTTAATCACATAATTTTATCATGTTTTGATTTGATGTATGTTATTTCATATATGTATGAAAGCTTCTTCATGTATTGAAAGTCTAGTAACTTTGATCTTCACGCAGTAGCGAGATTATCTAGTACTATGTGGATATTTCTAAAGTACTTATGGTCAATTTTTGCCACCTGTACATATCACGTCGTACATGTTTATTATTTTAGTTTAGGAAGCTGCCCCATGTGCCCCCGGCTTTATCATTCTCCAGGCTAGCAAGGGTAGGTTGCTTTCTCTGCCATATGCGCATATGGTTTAAAACCCTTGGTGATATCTAGTGTAGCCGACGCCATATTAGCTAGACCATTTCTCTATTTTACTGGGTGGGCAGGTGAAAACTTTGCTAGAAAGTTATTACGGGGCAGTTTTCAATCTTGCACTGACTTACACTGGTGTTATTGAGCTAAGCTTATTGGCTTGGGAGTAATATTCCTTACCCCTATTCTAGTCCCAGGAGCACAGCTCCATGTCAATAAAGCCAAGGGAAGGAACCACCAACCTTCCGCTCAGATGCTCTATCTACTAGATCATAGGCGGTCATTCATTGCAGATAGCAGGTAACCATAGTAACAGTACACCAAGGAAATGATAAAACATTGTTAGTGTGTGAGAGATGAAACGTAAATTTGGTTACCAGCATTAACAAATACAGTGGTCCAACAGATTGTATTCTTATTTGTTATGCACAATGCTATCTGAGAACATTCCACAAGTTGGTGCTTGGCAGAATGTATATCTGTAGCAAGACAAAAAAAGCTAAGGAGGGACGAGTGAGTGAGTAAAACCAAAACATAGCTCCCAAGTGTTGAAGTGAGCAACTGTGTGCGAGTGAGTGTTTACATTTACACCCGCAGGCAGTTATATCACAACATCCTGAATAATTCAGTCTGCGGACCAGGCAAATCAGAGACTGAAAACAGGAGCATCGATCAAACGGACAACAAACATTTCCTTACTAGTGGCAAAAAACATACTTACGCTAGGAAGTCAAAGTCGATCTTGGAATATTTGGCTTGTATAAGCGCCCAGACTCCCCAGAAGAAGTGAGAACCCTACAACAGAAGAACAAGAACATTAGTGACTGATTCACCAACAAACAAGTATCAAACATTACTTTCCTGTATCAGCTGTGTATACTTCCAAGCCATTGACAGGTTTGACTGATACTTTAATTCAATCATGTGACTGGTATCTTGGACATACTACAATGTACTAACCAGTTAACAAGTGCCTGGGCTACCTTGAGATTCAACTTTGTAGTTTCTGTATTTTGACTTTCAATTTTGAGGACAGATAATTTGTAATCCTTTGTTTGGACCAACGAATTATCTGTCCTCAAAATTATTACCCAAAGACTTTTTTTGTCAGAAAGTTTAGAAAATTTGTTGTTTCCTGCTGGAGGCATCATTGTTGAAAAAATATCACACGAAACAGTCTGTGATGTCATGAACAATGGATGAGATCATCTCTCATTATTCAACACTCATATGACAGGACACTGACATCATGGCAATGGGCCGCTTCGCAAAGCAATTAAAACAATGTTAACTCACCGATCCGCATGAAGCCCCCCAAAAAACCATGATAATAATGCTCTGTGAGAATTAACAAAAATATTCCTCCAATATCCTTGTCCCTCCAGGAAATATTAATGTAAAAACAGTTTATCGCTAAATTATTCCAGTTATATTCCGGCGTGTCAGCTTAATGTGGGAGGAAAGCCCAAACTGATGCAGGTCTTTGACGTTTACCACTTCAGTGAAACCCAAGTGCATGGGTATGGTGCTGACAAATCTAGAAACATAATTGGGCGAACCAGGATTCGAACCCAGAATCATAGGTTTCTGGAGTGCCCAAGAGAGGCGACTCTGCACAGCGAATTGCGGCGTCTAAGACGACTGGGACACCCATGCCCCCTTGTGATGCAGGGGCTCATCAGACAACCCATACCTACTGTACAGTAATTTGAGTGCTGTTAGGAGGTAGATTCTCTTGCTATATGTCTCAATATGTCTTTAGATAAATCAAACTCAAAGTGTGCAACAGAAACATATATTCGGAATTGCAGTTCAATAATCCATATGTGACCAAAAATGAAGCCGAGCATGAGGTAGATATTGAAATAATTGCCAAACAGAATTCCTGTAGCTCTGCAGCCTCTGATGGCTGAAGCAAGACTGAAGGGTAACTGATTCATCTTCCTTTTATACTGTGAGAAGCCAAGGGAATGAAGCATGTGATATACAATATATGTGCTTCCAACTCCCTGCAAAGGGAGACTACTCACTAAGGCACACTGGTTGACCTGTACATAAAGCCTCTCCACATCAGCATCACTGACTCTTGACTCTCTCCCAATCAAGGAATAATACTCCTCCAGGTAAACACGTATCCATGTCAACTGATAGTCTCGGTCGGGAAAACGACTGTAATCTACTTCATCTACACCTGAAAATAAAAGAACAATTTTGTAGCTTTTGGCTAATACTTATAATGAACATGATGAACAGTTTCATATTGGTAAAACAGTAACAACACTTTAACATTTTTCAAAGGAAAATCATTATACTGAGATTCATGAATACTGTGAAACACACAAACAATGTATCTAGAAATTAGGCCCGAAACACATGTTGAACCTTTGTTGAATTTTCATGCATATTAACAGCTCTCAATATACTCAAAGACCAAAGTATTAACCTCTCATTCATCAGAGTGTGACTTTTAAGAAGCATATAACTCAAGTCCTCTATAATCTGGTGAACCATTCCTCCATACATTATGTCAAGTAGTCTTGTTACTTGTCTAGGAAGTGACCGTGGTGTATCTATCTGTATCTTTCACCACAATCCCCCTTGCAAATGAGTGCAATTTTTTTCGAATGGCTTTTTTCAAATCAGACTCCAAACAAAGTAAAGATCGCAAATCTATCCTGGGTATTTACCAGAATAGAATAGAGATATAATCAAATGAAAATACACTCGATAATTGAAGACAGTTCAACTTTTCTTTTCATCATATTTCAGAGCAAGGTTCACCCACAAAACAAGAATACAATGGCCTAGTTCTGTCTTTCACCTCCCACAATATGTTTTAGCTTGTTTTAGAATTTTATTAAAGAAGAATGCCTGTTGCCAAGTCTTTAAACATTTGTGGTCCATGTTTCTCAAATGGTACACCTTATATAATATAACAGTAAGTCTACTTTAGTAACACACTCACCAGCATATTCATTAAAATGATTACCAATGTCAAATGCTTGGAGGTTGTAAAAGCCATACTCGTAGTCGATAAAACCAACAGTATCTGAAACAAGAAATTTGAAATGATTGGACATATGATGAAGGATTGTTATTTTCATCACTAATAACAAAACTAAACCTCATCTAATCTCACAATGGCTCCAACTTATCATGCTATACCATGGAAACCCCAAACACAAAATTTTGAAAAAATCCTGAACAGTGAAAGGCAACAGTTTAATGTATGCCTGATGTATGCAAAGTTTCATGAAGAAATATTGAACGGTTTATGAGTTATTCTCAGGAAACACAATATGGCTGATGGACAGGCGGATGGAACCCATTTCTTTATCCCCCACATAACTTTGTTTAGGTGAAGGGTAAATACCAAATCAAATTTGAAAAGTCAACAACCCACTATTGTTCACAAACTTTAATCTACAATTTACAGTTACTACATGGAACATTGTGCCATATATCATGTGTGAGTCAAGCCATCCAAAACTCTTGCTGCCTTGTTTTCCTGTTTATAAATGCCTTGAGTTCTAGGGATGGAACAATGTGCAAGCATCATTTGTGTTGGTGAATCACGTACGCGTGACTTTGAACATGGAGAATGTGGGAGAGTTGCATGTCAGCTTAATGTGGGAGGAAAGCCCAAAGTGTCAGACTGTTGTAAGAGTCTACCACTTCAGTGAAACCCATGATCACATACATGATTACCAAAAACCAAAAATTATAATCTGGGATCTGAACATTCCATGTTATAAAGCAGAAAGAATCACACGCTCCATAATCATGATAATCAGCTTATGATACAAACCTCTTTGGGGACTTGGCCTAAAGCAACCAGTGCAGCAGTGTGCGACAAATGTTTCCACTGACTGATATGTACATGATGCGCAAGACTTGTTTGGTGTTTATCTACCTTGTGATTCTTAGCCACTATAGCATGAATACACATATACTGTTTCTGCTATTTCTGTTAATATTACAACATTGCATACATTGTAGAATGTGTCAAATGACCTTCGACTTTGCCATTTGACATTGACAACTAAATAACAATTAACAATCTTTAACTAGGTTTGGACCAACATTCTGTTTGGGTACAGTGAACCGAATGCTGCCCTCTGTCCTATTCCACACAAAGAATGCCTAGTGCTCAAGATAATTCTTCAACCATATGAGTACAGAGCTTGCCATTATCAGAACTGACGAGTACCTGATTTACTTTCTCAAATCAATAAGTACTGTACTGCCTGTTCGTAACATTGACAAGTACTGGTATGATACTGCGCCGCCATCATTCAAAAACATTGTGTAATACATACAGATTTTTGTGCAAAACTAACGTAAACATAATAGAGACAGTGTGTTATTAGCCAATGGCAATGCAGCATTGGCAGAAAATCCATTTGCTGCAATACAAAATGACTTATCAGTGGTAGAAACTAACATGTTTAGTCCATTAGTCCTTATAATGATAATATATAGCAAAACCCTTAAAAATGGCAAATGTCTACTCCTCCTTATGATACCATTACTATTGGGTGGTTTGCCAAGGACGAGTGCCAATTTCTAATGCTGCTTATTCTGGAAGCAGGCAGATTTGGCGTCAGGACGATCATTGAAACTGTGCAGTGAGTCAATCACCTGGAACCCGCTTTAACCATCAGCGAGGGGAATTTCCCAGCGGCAGATTTTTTTCATTTCAGGGATGATTTTGCCTGTCATTTTTTATCGTCTGTTTTACTCTATTTCCATTTATTCAAACTTAACTTTGGTCAAGAATTTGTGATTAAGTATGCCCTTTGTTAATAATTAAAATCTGCAAAGTTGCTACGTTGAGTTTACTTACCCCTTAACATTAGGGTCATGACAAGGACCCCTTCACTTTCCTGTTAAATAATTAACACTGTTAGCTCGTGTGTAGAACAGGTTTAGGGTTAGGAATGCCAGTAATATATCTCCATGTTAGAGAAGTCGATATAAGCTGTATGAGACACTTGTAACTCACTCGACTGACTGTCATACACGATGTTCTGCAGCAACAAGTCATTGTGGGAGAAGACAACGTCGCAGGTGAGAGCCTCCAGTCGACCCTTCAACATGTTGAACTCTTCCTGAATTGCTGCCTTGGACTTCAACTCACTCTCGAAACTATATTTTAACAGGATGAATCACAAGACGCAAGATGAAATAACTCCAGCTTCAAGGGAACTATTCATGGGACACATCATGATATGTATACACAGATCCAGAGGGGTCTCAGGGGGCATGAAAAAATGACAGTTTTTCAAATGAAAAAAATATACATTTGAACATTAATTAGGGACTGGTTATTTATTATAGTGGTGTGTGTGTGTGTGTGTGTGTGTGTGTGTGTGTGTGTGTGTGTGTGTGTGTGTGTGTGTGTGCGTGTCCTGAGGGAGCATGAAAAAATTCTGGGTGTTTTTCCAAATGAAGAGATGTTACACAATACTGTGGGTCAGCAAAATATGATACAACCACAAGACCATTCCCACAGGCCCACCTACCCATATAATAATGAGAAGTCCCTAAAAAGTGCTGAAAAGCAGCAATTTGGAAAAGAAGGGGTTCGTTTAACACAAGATAGTGAAACATTAAGAAATATTATGTTTAAATAAATGATAAACTAAGAATCCTTACGTCTTCTGTCGCTCTGGTTCGGGGAAGTTATCAGGAGCTAAGTTGATAAAGTTCTGTAACTTTGTGAAGACATAGGGTACAGGATTAGAGTTCTCTTCTCCTGATTTTTTAAGGGAATGCAGTTTGGCCATTTCCTTGGCTATCAGGCTGAAACAAAAGAAAATAGTGATTGATTTGTAAGTGTATAATAATAATAAGAAGAAGAAGAAGAAGAAGAAGATGAAGAAGAATATAGTGATTATTAAAGGATGACAGATAAAAATTGTTTCAAATGACAGAGAAACCAAGGATTCATCATGAACTCTCAGTACTCCTAACTCATACAAGCAGAGTTATGACGATTGGGGTACAATGTGTGACCTGTCTCATTGTGTATTACTGTCTCCCAACAGTACTTCAATCAGTTGTGCTATCAGTCACTGGTTTGCCTTGTGTTTACAACCATTTACGGATTCATTCACCTAGTTCCCAGCAACCACAACCATGGACAGAAATAAAGTCTCGACCAGGCAAACCTGTGGATAATGGTGTCAGCTGCATTTATCTCACTATTATGTCACACATCAGCCAGGTAGTCCATTCTCTAAGTAGGACACTACAATACTCATCTGCCACTGTGCCCATGTAATCCCAATGTCACACATCAGGTAGTCAACTCTCTCAGTAGATCACAATCAATACACAACAGCCATTGTGCCCCATCTTTCCACGGCAAGGGAGTTAACTGACTGTAAAAGTCCAGTTTCCACCCTTGCCGAACAAGGCTGGAATTTCTAAACCTGATCGTAGCACCACCAGTGGTGATTACGGGTAATCATTATGTTCCTTCAATGACCCTCCTATTGGCCAATCAGATTCTACCTCTCATATCACTTGCATTTGCTTCAAACAAAATGACAGCACCCAGTCAAGACTATCTGATCAATAATATTGTAACAAAGTGTAAATATATTGTAATAAAACAGGTCTTACTTCGCAAAGAGCATCAATTCAAGTGAACCCCAAAATTAAAAACATGAAAAGATTTGGAAAATATCTGTTGGCAGTACACATGTCTTGCGAATCCTATAAATTATAATTGACTGAAATCTGCATGGCAGTGTTGATTTCGTTACATGATTTTGATTGGACTATACACAGACTTGTTAGACCACCCAAACAGAACTCCATAATTCCAGCCTAGTTCATCAAGGGTGGAAACATGACTTCCATAGTCAGTCAACTCCCCGCCTTGGGAAGATGTTGTGCCCTTGTAATCCCAATGTCACACATCAGGTAGTCTCCTCTGTCTGTAGATCACTATCAATACACATCAGCCATTGTGACCATGCAATCCCCATGACACATCAGGTTGTCCACAAGTAGATGACTATCAATACACAATGTCGTATCTCAATGCCATGGCATCTACAACCAATGAGGAAATATTTGTGTTCGGTATGTTTTCTTTAAACAAAACAGGATCGAGTCGGTAAAGAAATGAAGGTGCATCATTTTTTAAAGCTGGCATGTAATCGGCTGAAGAACCAAAGCAACCTTCAATTAGAATAAATATTCCCAAGGACGAATATTCATCGCTTTCGGCCATGGGAAACCATGCCAATTTAAACTTATCAGAGGGGTACACAAAGTATGTGATCTAGACTACCAGCTGTCAGACTTCCATTTTGTGGAAGCCTCGGTGGCTGAGTGGGTTAGATCACTTACTTTGTGTGCTGGCAATTAGGTGAGAGTGTGGTACGAATCCCGAATGGGATTCAACCCCAAAAAGTACTGAATTTGTACTTTGCTAAGAAAGTATTATCCCAACTATAACATTTGTTATTAACATAAACACAAATTTGAAGATTTTTGTTGTACAAAATGTTTAGGGTATTTCAGGTATCTATTGATGACTCTGTCATTCTGCACTGAATACAAAGACTTGTTTTCATTGGCTAATCTGATCATCTGGTTAGAGAGACTGAGGATATCACATATGCATGCAAAATGGTGGGGATATCCAAGCAGACGGTGCCCCCTTCTTTCTTTGATTGAAAAGATATGCTAAGCAAAATTAAGAAGCATGACTAAAGGTGTAGTTTCTTTTATTCAACAATCAGTTTTATCAAATGAGGACAGGTGAAAATGTTGCCTGGATCGATATGTGTAACTGTTGTCAGTCTGTATGACAGCAGTTGAAAAATTCACTGAATATGAAAATGAATTACAGAATACTGTCTACTTACATTACACAAGTTAGATTGACTTCAATAACCAAAAGGTGCAGTGCTAGACATAAATGACAGTTCCAACAGAAACTTAAAAACATAAATTTTGCACACCTTTTTTACATGTTTATCGTCTTTATGATGTTTATAGTGAAAAGGTTCTAAAAATTTCTGTCCTTTTTTTCTGAATAAAGATAAACAAAATATGCAACTAGTAAGTCTGAGCACAATTCACTAGTCTTTATCAATGTTTACTTGTATTTCTTCAGTGTTTGTCTTCAAAATGGCGACTTACATCCTTATATTGGCATCCTTCACCATCTTCTCATCGAGAGGCACCCCTTTCACGAAGCCGTAGGCCATGCCGTTGGTGAAGGTGCAGTAGAGGGGCGGAGCACAACCTGCCCCACTCAAAAGGATGAAGGTGTCCTTCTCTGCCTGTCTGTCAATGATCAGGTCTGTCTTCTCCCCATAGATCCGTACAAGAACCATGTCATCCCTGTTGTCAGGCTGGTAGCCTCCGACTAGAGCATTGGTTATTCCCTCCGTGAAGTGCTGCAGAAACACAATAAGCATGAACATGATGAATACTAGTAGAGGGAAAATACACCAATACATTGGTGGATCGCGATTTTTCCCGCACGTTACAAGTATCGATCATAGTCACACACTAAGTAAAAAATATTGATTCATACCTTAAACTTTAGCCTTTATAACTGTTACACCAAACACTAATTAGAAGTGAAAATGTAAATATTTACATCGACTGCCAACTGTAAATCATCAGTCTGCTAGGTATATGGCTTATGCACCACAGATAAGAGCACATGCAAGAATCATGATATGTGCGTGTGTGCCAGCGGTAGAAACAAACAGTTTTAGTCTACTAGTCCTTATAATGATAACATATAGCAAATCCCTTAAGAATGGCAAACTTCTAATAGTCCTTATGATACATTACTATTGGGTAGTTTGGCAAGGACAATAGGACTAGCAAGGACAATAGGACTAGTGCCAATTTCTATCGCTGACGTGCACATGTGTGGAGGCAGAGATGTACAAGTGCATGTTATATCATAAAGGAACATTGAAGGATATATTTTGCTCATGTTATATGCATGATATGTGATTTTCACCATATTGATGTTCTCTAATAAGATGATGGCTGAAAAGTTTAATAATCAACATGACAGCCAAAAGCTTTCAACATGTTTAACTCTGCTACCTTGAACATGGTTTTAGCATCATTTTCAGGAGATGTAGTGTTGTTTTACAAATAACATTAGCTGAGCCTGCTGGACTGAACAGATATTCAATATATTTATAGACTTTGGCTCTGGACTAGTGACGAAAGATAAGCTGTGTGTCCACATGAATGGCTGTTGGAGTTATCTTGTTTATTTGGAGATACTTGATGACAGCATGTTAGCCAGTTTGATCCATTTTCATCAACAAAGAATATATAGAATACAATGCTTGCATAAATATGCTGCCTGGTTGTGTGGCTCATATGCAGCCTGTAAGCACACAATGTATTGTACTTAATACATGTCTTACATGCAAACTGTTAAGCATGTTAAGGGTGTACTTTACATCCTATGTAGTTAGGATCAAATTTTTTTAGCCACCCCTCATATGTTATATTTTTAAATTAATAATAAACTTTCAGCCAGAGGGCTTCAAACACAGTAAAACCTGCAGTCTTTTTATATACTTTTTAATATATGTGTCAGTGATTGTGAGAGTGTGATCCATGATGAACATGATGAATGCCTGAGTCCCATGCCAGTTATCTTGGTTGTTGTATATTGCACACCCCTAATGTAAACTCAACCTTCTTTGTACAGCTTCTAAAATGCTACCTAAAGATATTTCAAGTGTCCTTTCGAGATATGTGAGGATAAAACTGTTCTACAAAATGACATGTCAAATTATTCAAGACAGATTCAAGGATATATTTTAAAGGAGTGCTGAGGAGTGGTTTTTTTCTCAACATATGTCAAGCAATACTACTTCCTTTTTAATTACCGTATTCGACGTAATAAGCGCCCCGCTCCAATAAGCGCCCACAGGCAGTATTTGCTAATATATTGGCTCGTGAACAATCCCAGGCTGTCAGCATAAACCACGAAATTTATCTTTCAACTCTGTTTATTTCACCAAAGTAATATTCTAATAAGAGCCCCCTTTTTCTAATTTTGAGAGCGCCCTGGGCACTTATTACATAGAATATGGTAATATGTAAACGTTGTGCTTGTTGTAGATACAGGGAACAGATAATACAGAAGTTTGAGCGTAAATGCCTGGGTCTCACAAGGACTTTAATATCTGAGAGTATTCATGACTCACTGTATTTATTTTTAGGAGAAAAATGTAAAATGAAGGGTAGTGTGTGGTTGCAATCTGATATTAATGTGATGTCACACTGGAATGTTATGATGTCATGATACAATGGATTATGTCACAGGCTTCCATGGTAAGCAGAATGTGGGAAAAACAACTAGAGCTTTAGAAATCAAACTTTTTCTGATAAATACTGAACTTAATATATATTTAATGTAGTATTCATTTTGTCAAGGGATTGAGAGAGAAAAAAAAGAGAAAAAGAAAACTATTCATACACCATGCTCAGTAAAAAGTCTGAAAGATTTGCTGACCCAATCCTATTCAACAACGTTTTTTCAACCAATCAGACTGCAGCACACACATATCCCTATGTTACGTCTATTAATACTGATAAACAAGGATGCATTTGTGTAGGCCTTGTGGATTGTGATAGATTCTAAGGATGTGTAAATGTTTAGAATGCCCATTGTCTATTATGCTGACTACTGGAATCTGCAAGATGACCAACATGACCAATACTAAGAACACTAAAGAGTAGTGGCCAGACCCTCAAACTGCCAACATACCCTTCCCCATAGTAGAACAAAGCAAACTTAGATTTTCCTTATGTTTTTGTATCCAACGGACTAGAAAATGATGGTTGTGGTCAAATGTTTTGGTGGCAGATACTGTTTTGGGGTCAAAATGCACTTTTATTTTTTAAAATAGAGAAAATCAAATAAAGTCCCCTTAATAGGTAGTGTATGCATTGAGTCCTTATTTTTATCATTTATGTGATAGTTCACACATAGCAGACTTGAATTATTTATTATTATTATTTTTTTAATCATAGCTTCTCACAAATTGAGATATTAGTAAAAATAAGCCAAAATATGGTACATTTTGCTCTATTTTCATTTTCCAATTATTGGAACATTAACCGTAATAAATAATTGGTATTATCAACCAAGCCATTTGATATCTCAAAATTATTCGACATGTCTTATGAGGAGACGGCAGTGTTCATATTCCACATAGCTTTCATGATTTTAAAAAAAATTGGTAATATGTTTCTCCACCCTCCATTTTGTCAAAATGTGTAATTTTTATATTCCCCTTGCTCATTTCATTAATAATAGATTTATACAACACATACATATCACCGTTTGCAAATACCTTTTCTATGTAGGATATTATTTAAGGCTTGCCTAAAATTATTGATTATTTAAACCACCTAGGAGGTACAGTTGAAGTTCAATGTCACTGTGGAGGTCAAGTTCTAAATTAATACATAGATAGTATTAAAAAAGCTACAAATGCACATACAACTTTCATTACTGGGTCTGGGTATGCTTGGTTAAGCCCTATAGAAAAAACGAAGAAGAAACTAAAAATGTGCACAAGAAGATCAAAATAGCTGCTCCCCCTCAAAATGGACAATCAGATGATACTGTGGACTCAATCTCAAGACACATAGAGGTATATAAGGAAAAGAATTTATGGTCGTCAACTTCTTTATTATGAGGAACACAACGTTTGGGAGTAAATACTTTCTCTATGAAGCAGAGAACATATATATTTTCCTGTAAGAACAACAAAGTAATAAGATAATAAAGGTGGAAACTTCAAACCTCATAATCTGACATATATCAGAATATTTATGAATACACTATTTCTCTCAATACCCAAGGAGTGTACTGTATGATTAAATTTGTAATTACATACATGATTCTTCATAAGAGGACGTCACTTAAACCACAAACCGTGTACAGTTTGGTATGACTAGACTGTCAAATATAGTCAAAAGTAACAACAAAAGAATATGACCAAGATGTCAACGAGAAATATCTTTACTCATGGCATCAAAACAATATTGTGGCTATGTAGCCATGCTGCGTTCCAAACACACTTCTGCACTTGTACACAGCAGACATAATTCAAAATGGATATATCAGTTTTTAGTTTCCACAAAAAGCAGTAAATGCATTATTGTGTCAGTGGATCTTCTGTCTGGTCCATAACTTGATTCTCTGGTCTCTTTAAAGACAACCTCAATCTCATTAAAATCAGATCGTAGTTCTCGATACCGATAAACAAAGATCTGTGGACATCCCATTACGGGTCACGTCAGACCGACCTTGCGCGAACTTTTAACTACCAATGGAATGACCAATCAGAAGGCAGCTTTCTCGTGCTTTACGGCACTATTTTCAAATTGGCGACAACGCTTCGAAACATATTTTGACAAATTTGAAACCTGAACAAAAGAACATTCTGGAATCGCTAATAGATGGACTAGATTGTATGGATTCAATTGTTAAACCCGTAACTATCTTACGGAACACCCAAAGTTAAAGTTTTCGAGGCTGCATGATCAGAAATCACATTCCGACTGTCACTTTCATGATCTGGTAAGCGACGCTCCGATTGGTTTGATGAAAGGTCGTTCTGACGTGACCTTTACTGTGATGTCCTCAGATCTTTGTTTAGCGGTAGCGAGAACTAAGGTCTGATTTAAATGAGATTGAGACAACCGTCGCATGGAAGGAAACATACAACGCTTATGTTTATGCAAATTTTGTGAGTGGCAGGTGTTACCGGTAGGGCAGGTCATGTTAACCATTTTAACTGATTTTCAGTGATCTATTCATATAATTTTCACGGTTATTTTGCTGTTACGTCTAATAGAATCTGTATTGGCGGATAATCGAGACTGGTTGTTCTCTGGTGTTGATGTTTAACAACTATTCAAAAAATATTTTGTGCTGTTATCTGCTGCAATACTGAATTTTAAGGGTCGTGTCTATAACATGTTACCACATTTGTAGACCGTAATAATGTGTTGTGGTGTAAAAAATGTTTTAAACAAACTTCAGGGATGTGAGCAGGTTTTGCCGAAAAAAGAGGAAAAGTCTAGGGGGGTCTTGGGGTATGCCCCCCCCAGAAATTTTTAAAACATTTGATTGCATTTTAAGCAATTTCATGCAGTTTGGACAACATTCACACCAAGAAATGTAATAAGTCAATGGCAAAAGTCAATAAGTAAAATAAACAAGATGGCAGATGCAGTAAAATTTCGAAGTTAAATCAGTAATTTAAAAAAATCGGGCATAGCTTTCGCACACCTGGCTACCCGCCAGGTCTGGGAGCAATACTGCCATAAACTTCAACCCCCATCCCCCAGACACAAGGACAACTGTCACAAGTGTGCAATGTCTGACCCTTTCCCC